CGGCTAATAACTAGTGAACTAGTTAACTACGATTAAAAGTGGTTAATCTCTACGACTTCAAGGTTTTTTCTCAGAACCTAACGAATCATTTGCAGCTCTTTTCTGCAACTACTGTTTGGAATTTCAGTCGTTCACATTGGACCTAGAACTCCTTGGTTTAAACATCGCCAGATTTTTTTGATTGCTGAGGATATTTATAATTAATTTGCTAGAGATGTGATAATGGTCCATTGCCATACAACTCCCGGATGTTTGCCTGCTTACTTGACTTTATGTTTTATGTTGTGGAATAAGATTATCATAATCTTTATTAGAAGCCGTAGGCGGCTGAAACTTTTATTACGAATCCTTTTGTTTTGAAATTTGTGAACAAAAGCACATGAACCAATTTTAAATATCAGATTGGTAAAAGGGACAAAATTCAAAGAATATTCAAATCTAGAAAAGCCTGGAAGTAGCTAAGGTCATAGTAAATAATATATATAAACCTTCTGTTATTTACTGCTTTTGCCATCTACTGAGAAACGAAGTGGCCAGCAAGGGGTGGATTCTTAAGGTCTATTGTCCAAGCGTCCACGTGTAAAGTAGTCACCACAAGGTTGTAGCAAGTAGACAACAAGGGTTATAGAAGTGGCGACAAAAATATAAAATTATGAATACTGCCTATGAACTTAGTTTTTAAGAATGAGACTATCAGTTGTTGACGAACATTTTTGTTTTATTCAACATCTTATCACTTGCTCATAGTTTTCGCAAACCTGATTGATACTGCCACGTAGGAAAGGTTCACAATAGACACCATACTTGTGTTTGTGTTGAAAAACTAAGAATTCCTTTTTTTTTACACACTCAGCTACCATGTGCATATTCGTCCTCCAAATATAAGCCACACCTGTTGTGTGAGGGCTAGTGATACAACTTGGCTGCCTATACCTCGGTAGGTGGAGTGGGGTTGGAACCCATTACCCAATGGTTGGTAATCATCTCCTTAAACAAATGAGCCACAGCCCCACAAATGTAACAGTAAGGAAAGTAAAGCCATCAAGACCAATGCTTAATAGTATGTTGTATGATAATAGATTTGTAGACACCGCTATTAGCTTCTTAGCTCATGAAGCTCATTTCAACTGGAATGCATCTAATTCCCATTTAGAATCGTTAGTATGTTATTTCATCTCTGTTATAGAAATGGTCGTGTTGCACTCTAAAAATCATATCAATCTCTTATGTTATAAACCAAAGATAGAAAAACATATCGTTTTAACAGTATGATTCCATGAAATTATCGACTGTAAAGTTTCCTATCTGAAACATATTTTATGCTTTTACTATGTTTTTAAACTAAGATAGGATATGCGTTTATTTCGATCAGCATGATTTGCCCAGGCTAGTAAAGCCTTGGTTTAAAACGTTGCTAACCCTTGTTCAAATGATTTATAATTTTGCATTCTCGTATTTCTGTTATTATCCTTTTTAATAGGAACACGTATTTCATATCACATTTGGTACGTGAGTTACCAATTTTAACATCATGATCATTTTCTCAGCGTGACACTTATTAATTAATCATTTCCTTTTTGGTTTACACTGTGACCTAGTATCTGCATTTATACAACATTCTACGTTGATTAATCCAAATTGCGCAGATGGGAGCAATGTTGATTGTAACAATAAAAAGAGTAGTGTTAATAGTTCTAGTAGTACTGGTACTTCTGCTATTATTGACAACCAATGTACACGAAAACCATCAGATATAGAAATTGATCATTTAAACTTGAAAAGACCACGACTACAAAAACCATACGATAATTGTCATCCAACGGTAAGTATTTGCTGCCCTAACTCTTTAAATAACATTACATGTATCATTTAAAATTGTTTCTAATCAACACTTATGTACTCCATCTCACCATCATTCTATTTCTTTCTTAGTGATCATTTGAACATTTTTCTGCTTTTTGCTTTTATATACATTTAAAAGGTTGTTCTTGTATAATTTAGCAAACTTAAAGGCAGTTACCCACTTTAGTTCACATCCAGATCAGGATCACCCCACTAAAAGTTTACGTGTCTTCCCTCAATACGGTTTACAGTTTTAAAAAATACTTTGCTGTGCGAATTTGAGTTATACGCAGCAAGGTAGTAACATAATAGTCAAAGTTTTAGGAAATGATGCTGGTCAGCTGATGAGGCTGTGAGTCTTCATCAACTCAAGTGGTCGGGACATTCATCACACATACCTACTTAACCTACGCCTCAACAACCTGTTACCCTAACTAGGTTTAGACTGTGACAAAGTTTAAGGCAACAGAAATAAAACATCGAATCAGTCCGAAAAGCCACTCACTGTTGGTCTGAACCGTGTAGGGATATGCAAGTTTTCCGCTTACAGTCGGCGTGACAACTGAAATCGCTAGTCAGAAGTCCCTCATACTGTATCTCAGTGGACCAGAGACATCTACACATTATCTCTTTACATCAGTCGCCATATACAATTTCCCTCTTCCTTCCTTCAGATGACCTTAGACTACTTTTTATCTTTCCAAGATTAAACTGTTCCTGCATTTGGTCTCTTTTTTGTTACTCCAACATCATCAAGCTATATTGGTGTTTGTAGGGAAGGATAAAGTTATTATTTAAGGTATCGTTAGTTATCTGGTTGAAACATAAAATGCCAGTTATAAAAGTTGTTTTGCGTTTTCTAATCAACAGTAAAAAGTAGTAATTCTAGATACGATGCGAAAAAAAGCATGGGTATTATCAAGTGTCTTGTAATTATCATCTTCCGTGTATGCATTTTACAGTACTAAAATGTCCCCTTCTGTCAGTTTCATTTTTAATATTTTCTTGATCATTTTAATCTAGGATAGTGTCCATTCGCCTCCACTGACTTACAGTAAAAATCCATTAGACTTAACTGAAGAAGAACAACTACTGTTAGCAATAGAAGCATCAAAAGAAGAGGCAAATAAACAGTCGAATGACTCTCGAAGACCGGTAGGTGTTTTTTTGCATACTATTCCTTTGATCAGTGGTTAGTTATATATACGCACACGCACATCTGGTTAGATACATTATATTAAATCCAATTATATTCATCATTCAACAACTTAAATTCTTTCACAGTCACGATATTGCTTTTTTGAGCACTCAGTATACTCACTGGATTGTTGAACATTTAGTTCGACGAAGAAAATACTTTCCAGCGAATCTATATCTCGAAGCTGTAAAATCGTACAAATATACAAATTTTCTTTCTTACATCACTGTCTGTCTGTGTTTGAGATGCTATGATAATGAATTCCGTTTGTAAAATAGACACAGGTTTTGGTTAGTAGGATAAACTAGCGAAATATATTACATAGAAATATATTGGGATATGTAGAAGATATTTTGGAAACCAGTGTTATTCATTCGTTCAAAGAAACTCAGTAGCTGTAAGTAACAGTAGTCTAATCAGAGCTGTTTACACTAGGTTCATTGATATTTCTTATGTCCGGTATTGGTTGTTTTATTTAATTTAAATCATGAGTTTTAGTGATTTGTTGACCAATGAGCTGTTATTTGCTTTTTTCGATGATAACTAGCAATAAAGTTTAAAACGCTCGTCTCTCTGTTTATGGGACTTGTCAAGTGATCTGACCGTGACTGAAATCCACTGGTCATAGTTTCAAAATTAACAGACGTATATAGTTAGCTTTTGTTGACTGGGACATATACGACTTACAATGGTACTGAAGCCTTCGTGTATCTACTGATACTAGGTAGCCGATAAAGTGCTGAAATCCGCATTTTAACAAAAAGGCACGTAGTTTAAAATAATCCACAATGTTTTGTGGAACACCCCAATACTCAACACTTTATTTTTCAAATAGTTTGTTTCAGTGCCTATAGCATAAATTTTTGTGAGGGAAAGTTTTTCTAAACGTTTCACCCAGATCAGAAGGCGAGCAAAGATGCAGTTTATTTTCTGTGGTTTCTTGCTCTCAAAGTACGACCATCGCAGCATGTTTCACATGCCGTGCCGCGCCTACCTTGGTGTGCCACGCTAGGAGAAGCTGGATTAGATTGGAAGAGGGTTCAGGGTGACCAGACGAAGATGTCGCATCAGTCGATGAAGTCTCTGTTGGTTTTTCTAAGTCGTGTGAGGGCGATGTAGATCGCCTGGGAGGGGTCTTTGAGATGATATGAATCATTAATTGAGGGCCTTTGGTAAAATAGTTGATAACCGGTCACAACGTCAGAGATACGTTCACTCTTTGACGTCTTTTGGAGCTTGAATATTTTGACTTATCTTCACTTTCAAGACCTTTTCTACTTGTATTCACTTTTTTCGGGTTTGATATCAGTATTTTTCCGTCCATTTGTTCTTTTCATGTTTTTGGGAAGTGTGGCAACTGGAACCGATGCACTTTTGTGAGTTGTACGTTGATTTTGTCTGTATGTGATTTTAAAATGAAGAGCGCTGGTTATTTCTCTATTTATTTGAAGTCACTTTCTTATCGTGAATTTATAACCTTCCAAGAAGTCGCTCTGGGTTTTCCAGTGATTGGATCTACATTCTACCATTCTATAACTTCAGTTTATACACCATATATCTTTAATATAAGTGTAAAACTTGGTCGCTGTGTGATATTTCTAATAAACATACTAAAATGGAACCATATATCTTTGTTGTCCTATGATTTTACTATTGGGAATACCTTTTTAATGTTATATAGACTGCTACAGAGTTTCTAATGTCTCTTGGCGTTTTATCTTCATGTTTATCATAATTTTCACATGGTCTGCCTATCGCTTAGTGATTGGAGTAAGATGCCTAATATGCAGTTTCTTTTGCGAACATTTCTCTTTTGTTGCTTGGTTTAATAGTGTTATCACCTATTAACATATTGGTTTTGAAATACGTGAGAATTATCCTTTGGGTGACTTTTATTTATCCGGTCAGTCAATTAATTTGCTATGTAATAGATATCCTCTTTTTTTGATAGCACCATCTATTCATTCAGCGAAAAGAATGTGACCATTTATCTATAGTTCTTTGTGTTTGTTTTATGAACGGGACAATCGGCCGGATTATCGAACCAAAGTTTTGTTTACAAACTTTTTGACCCTTTTTTTTAGACAGTTTGATCAAAGTAGTGAAAAACCATGAACCTTTGTTATACACTGTTGCCCACATACATCGACTAATGTTGCATTAAAGATCCATCACTGCGACACTCTGATTCAGTTTACCCACTCCTCTCATTTCGTTGCTGGGAATGTATTTGTCTAGTGATCTGCTTAACGTTAGCCAACAACAGCAACACCTATTCGATCATCATTTATGTTAGACTTAGTGTCAGATAAACTTGCGATGCCTAAACTGATTTGAACGATTTGCTCATACCAATTTTCTGTGCATCATAACTTTCATTTTTTTGGAAGTGAGTGAAGGGAACAAAAATCCTCATGTAGTCAGAGCAAAACATCAAAGCAATCCATGGTTTTATTTGCATGATGAGATGTAACCTTTCGCTTTGCGATCCGTAATGAAGGAATTAGAAGTTAAGGATATGTTACGTGAAAAGATTAATTCTGGTGACACAGATACATTTATGGAATATATGAATATGTGTAAAAGGTGCTTTATGCTATAGAATTTATTATTCACCCTTTTTTGTCTTATACACCGAATTTTAGAGAGTTACAATTATTTTTGTCTGCTTTTTATTTCAGCTCACAGAAGATGATGAGGTAGTCCTCACAGATGATGACGACGAAGAAACTAACCGGAGTACAGTTTCAGATATTGATATCGACCGTCAGGAAGAAGAAAAAGTAGCTGATTGTGATACTGGAATCCGAGGTGATAGAAATGTTATCAATTCCAATGGTCAATGTAGCTTATCATTTGTTTCTTCAACCACAGCAACTATCACAGCAAGACGACCTTTGAGACCAGAAAAATCCTCTAAATCTAAATTCTTTCGAAATTTGAAACCAAACACTTTGTACAAGTTACCCTCTCCAGCAGCTGAAGAACCGGCAGTTGAATTACTAATTCGTTTGCCTGACGGAAGCCGTGAAGTTTATCGGCTTCATCCCACTCTCACTTTAGAGGTAAACTTTGACAATGATTTTAACTAAGCCAATAGTAGAAGTCTTTTTTGCATGTATTTTTCTTTTTATACGTGATTCGTTTGAATCCATGTTAGTATGCTGCATTACGCAGAAACAATAATACTGGCAGTCTTTAAATGTAGGAGAATATTTGTGGCTTAGGTGGACGATATTGCTTGTTTTGTGTTCTTTGTACTGGGTGGTTTAATCATGACGCTATAACTGTCTATTTAGGCAATATCATCAGCAATAACTTCAACATAAAGTGCATACACAACAGTTGTATATCTCGAAAAGCTGTTCTAGAAAAACAGTCTGCAAATCATGAAAATAGGAAAGTGCAATCAATACTCGTGTCTACCAATGGAAGCTCACATTCAAAGTATCCATTTGAACCTAACCAGTCACGTAGGAGGTTATTTAGAGTATTGACTCTGAATGTAACCAGTTTTCATGACAATCACTGTCAACTTCCACTATTTCGGGGGCTCATCTCAGTATACAAAAAACAAATTAATCCTCCCATACTGATCACACAGAAATCGGCGTTATTAATGTCATCTCTAAAAAGGTATAGCTTAGTTTTTCTGTACTTACCTACATGGTGCTCAAGATCAGCAAACTTTGTGAAGCGACACAGGTTTCAAAACTAATCATATACCTGTTCAACTAATCTTCATACACTAGATTCTATACCTAAGACTTACGCCAACTTATGTGTTGAATTGATTGCCTTTTTGTCCTATTTGTGATTCCCTACATGTTGTGTATTACTTCCACTGATTCGCCCTCCCCCGCCCCTTACAGTTTTAATTGATATGTATATTAACGTTTGATTTTTCTTCTCTTTACTTCTTTTTGTTTTATATGTTATATATTATCAATCTAACTCTGGCTCTACTGTACGAAAAAGGATCTGCATTCTTACTTTGAATATCGTGGTTATCCACAGTGTCAGTATGAAATTATTCGTGTTTATCCTCGTCTCTGTCTTTCAACTATGCCACAATCAATCTCATTGACCGTTGCCGGTCTATGCACAAAGGATACCCTGTTTATTCAGGAGCGTTGAGATCTAAGCGCGTACACGTCCGTATGTCTAAACTCAGTATTTTTTATTAATACCATATTTATGAACAGCAGCCAGACTGTGGCAATTTCAAACATCATCTGTTTTTGTGTCATTTTTCACCTGTATTGTCTGCTGCTTCTGTTTACCATGTTGCGACGAAAATAAAGATATTACTTTTGAAATAACTAATTGTGAATTAACTTCTTATATAAAGACGCACACTGTTCAAAACTCTACACCAAAAAACATATTTTTGTGATTTAGGATAAACATGTCAGCAATTTATCTATTCGATCTGTTTACCTTACTTTTTTTCCGTGGACATTTTGTTTTCACTATGTTGTTACTTGTATCATTTTCTCTCCCCCTCTCTACTTCTGTAATTCTCTTCACTGGACGAAAAGTTGTAAACGATGTTCAAAAAAGCATTACATGTACTTCTTTCAAGTTACACTCTTTTTGGTTGTGTTTTCACTGAAAGAATCACCAAAAATGTATTTTCAGCGATTCCTGTGTTGTATGAAGTTCTTGTTATTCCCAATACTCCATTTTTCATCTGAAATCAGTGTTAAGATACGTATCAAATTTAGTGCAAATTATTAAAAGATGTATTCGTATAGCGGCCTGTAACTTGTAGGTACACATCTCTATCGCTGTTATACATTTGTGAATATATATATATATATATATATATATATATATATATATATATATATATATATATATATGCAATAAATAAATTTATTTGGAAAATACCTCCTATTTGTTGTATGAGTGTGTTTGCATGATTGCGCGTGCTTTCATGTTTTTCCGATTGATATTATCATTATTGTGTTGTATGTTGAGAAAAATATATTTCAAGTACTGTAGACTCGAAATGTTTTTAGCTATTTTCTAGCAAAGTAACTTATTCCCCGCCCCTCTCTTTCTCTCCTATGTGTCCGATCGATTCGATATCTTCTGTGTTTCATGTAACCTACATATTGTTTTGGTTTTTTGTGACGACTCCATCAGACTTTTTATTCACATAATCTGGCGTAGAGATTGCTTGACGAAACAGTTCTCGTTGTATTGGAATAGTAACCCGATTTTTCTATGAATCTGAATCTGTTGGTAACTTCATTGAAATAATCTCGTGTTGTGATAATACATACAAATACTGAACAACTGACTGACTGTTAAAGGGTAATAAATCGTCCCAATACTTCCTCCTGCTGTTAACATATGATGCATATTAAAATTGACCTACCTACTTCAAAGCAGGCACTACCATCACAATCATCTTCGAAAGTTACAGATTTTATTTAGAAAATTAATTATAAGTTAATAAGCGGATAAGTGGGTATTTTCTAAAATGCTAGTATCTATTCTCTTTTGATGGATGTGTGGCATAGTAACTCCAACTTTGGCGTGGACAATCCGGTAGCATCCTAAGCCGTCATCTAGTAAGGATGACTCACAATCTAATTTCAGGTTAACTTGCCTTATATCGTTCCGTCGTTGAATACAATCAAAAAGTTAAAGTCATTATTCAAACGTAGTTTTTCCAGGCGCTGAGGATTTTAGTAGAATATGTTTTCATCCAGTAGGTCACTATCTTGTTCTTGCTGCTTAGCTAGTCCATTAGCATAAAAATAAGTATATATCTTTGCGAAGCTAGCTTAATTTGATTGTATAATCACCAGCATATTGATACATTTTAATACATAGATCTGTGTTTAGTTCCTATCTCAAAGCGTTAAATGATAGCAGTTACAAATTAAGAACACCGTCTTGTCTACTGTAATCCTGTAGCTTTTAGTTAGTTTAAAAAAAATCTAACTCAGAATAGAATTATGAATTTAACAAAACATAAAAACTCGTCAGATCTAATACACATGACTCCTGATAACTGCATTCATAGTGCTTGATATTGCTGTCATATTTTCCATTTCCTCGTCATTTGATAGTAAACTGAGAAGTATCGTATCTTTATTTCTGAGGGGAAAATTCGATACGAGGAATTGCACAGAATAACGTCTACTAACAGCTCCGTTATATCTCTTCTACCGTATGATATTCTTCAAATTCTAGTAGTTTGTTACCGCGGTCTACGTGGGTTAAATATTTGAGCTCAGGTTGAACCTTCATCCATATTTTATTTGATTATTTCGTAGTTTCAGATTATGCAAGCTCTTCTGATGAACTTATGAAGGTATTTGTACGCTTGACATTTTATTCTTTTCCGTTTTTCATTGGACTTCTTTGCACTAAGGTTTGATCGTAAAATCTAAGGGCTTTTTTATTCCATAGCTTACTACACTCTTGCCATTTCTGTAAATCTTATGATAGTATGTAGTCCGTAGTTTGCTATCGCTATTTTTGTCTTCTATTCATTTCTATTACAGGTAGTTGCATTGCTGGTGGATTTCTTTCCCGCATAGTAAGTTATATGTCGACAACACAGGGATTCATTAAAATCGTCATGGTTTTGTTAGAAAGCACTAGTGGTTCAGGTCATCATATTGTTGGCTTCCGTCCCCGTTTAGCTACTGGTCGGAAAGAAAAGGTGGCATTCGATCCACTTGTTCAACAGAATGTTCTATATCGTGAAGTCCACAAAATCCGTTCGTTGAGAAAAGCAGGACGCTAGTTTTTCTATGATGTGCTGTATTTAGTGGTAGATTTTGTAAATAAATCTGTTTCACATTGCACAACCTCTTTCCTTTTCTATACTTCAGTTTATCATTGTATGTGTATGCTTGCTTTGATTGTGACGTATTTTGAAAGAAGAGTAAACACTATCAAATGAATTGCTGTACATCTGTCATACATACAGCGGCTCTGTGTACTCTATGATTAGAGTATGCAAAGAGGTTGGAAGTATTTCAGTAAAAGCATCAACGTTTTAAGAAACACTGGTTTTTATCCAGCAAGTTTGCTACCATTTGTAAGTAGTAACACACTGGTTAGTGAATGGTGATCTGGATAGTAATTATTACCAACGGTTTGGACATCATTAAGTAGTTTTATGTGATGTAAAACACGAAGATACAGTATTATTTACTAGATTAATGTAAGTGTAAAACTTGGGCACTGCGGTAGAATTTAATTTCATATTAGATTTGTTTATTTGATTTATAACACACAGTTATACAGTATTATTTACTTGACGACGTTTCGAGCATAAATCATTGCTCATGATCATGCAATCAATGTAACCACACTACTTTCGACATTTGCTTTTTACAGCTCTATTACCTCTTATTCTTTGTTCCGACGAACGAAGATTCAGTAATCAGTCTAAATCTTTATTCAGTGAATCAACACCCAATACATGAAATTGAAACGACGTAACACCTATATCAGAGATATTGAAAATTTTACTACCAAAAGAAACAAAGAATAAGAGATGACAGGACTATAAAAAGCATATGTCGAAAGTAGTGTGGTTATATTGATTATATGGTCATGAGCAATAATTTATGCTTGAAACGTCATCAAGTAAATAACACTATATCACTGTGTGTTATATAAATCAAATGAACAAATCTAATATGAAATTATTTACTAGGTGAGTAATGTGATTATGAGCAATAAACTGTGCTCAAAACACCATCTAGTAAGTAATGCTGTTGCAATGTTTATTGTTATGTTACATAAACTAATCTAATACGAAATTACACTTAAAATGCCTGAGTTTTACTCTTACTTTGGACATCATTTTTCGACATAAAATTTCTGGGCTGTGAAACGCATTATTTTTTATTCCATGGACTAGTGATTCTGTTCGATGGTATAAGGTTAAGTAATTAGTAACAAGATTTGAATCAATGATCTTATCATGGAGATTTGAGCCAATTAATTTTCAAGTCTACATTACCAAAATGACTTTTTATAGATTACAAATTGAATAATTTATCATATGAGAACCAGTTCCGTAGACTGACTTGTGATTGTAGGAAAACTATTGTATTTGTCAGTCATTTCATTAAGGAACTTGATTTTAAAATGTGGAATACTTACATACTCAGTCTTCTTCCTTTGAGTGTGTATTCATCACACACATCTGTGTTGGTATTATTTCTTATTTGTTCTTATACATAAAGAGCTTTTCGTAAACAATTTGACCTTCATTCTTGGGAAACTACAGCTTAATTTTTTTTATTGTTGTCCAGCAATCAATTTTTGTGCACGAATTGCTCTTAAAAATGTTATTTATTCACTGGAGTCGGCGGTTGATTTCGCAAACATAACACTAAACAATAGGTTCACGAATCACGGATGAAACTAGTTTCCTGTAAAGCACTAGAACACCTTTGTTGATGCAAATAAAATTATGTAGCTTTATTCCGGAAGACCTAATTGTCGAATAAAGCTGAATTTCTAAATCGTATATGAATTCTCTTGTGAGTCATTGTTTAGCTTGGTATTCAAGAGTTTTCTGGAAATCGTATTAATGTAATTTCGAGAAATTTTTAGTTATAGTGACACCTTCTTGGAGATTTTTTTCTCTTGTTTATTAGTGAATATTATCTTACTTCATGGAAAAGAGTTAGCACAAATCGAACATTTCCGCTGTTTGAAAACTGTCATTATAAATCAAAAAAAAGTTTAATGAACTATGCTTTTTTGGCAACTTCCTCAAGTTCCACATGTTTAGGCATAAGCATAAACGGCACGAGAGAATTCAAAACGATTAAAATCGTTTCATCAGAGAATTATTTTCAGCAATCAGGTATTGTGAAACTTGGAGTCTTGAGTATATTGTCAGCTACAGCTCTACATATTTTTCAAAAATTCATTTGTCTAAGCCCAATTTTGTGTTATCCTTCCAAATATTTTTACTAACAATGATAAATAAGTGTGTTATGAGTTCAAACCCATCTCCATTACTGAAGTTTAGGTAGCCAGATAGCATACTATTCGTACATTAAACACTAGGTACTTCGTGGGCAACAACAAGTACACCATAGTTCCATAGTCAGTATATGGACTATTTGTACCGCCCGAACACATATACAGAAGCAGGTTGTGGGTAATCTTAGGGTACCACTATGCAAATTTTTAACTCGAAGTTCAATCCAAATGGAACACCGTTAGGTGCTGTATTCTCACAGTTGCCGGTAACCAAGATAGATGCATATATCATTTATCCATCCGAACTGCTAGATCCTGGATGCACCACCGCTTTGAAATCGGGCATTTCTAACTCTCCTAGATATGCCTTCCATGTACACCAATCCAGTGATAGCATCTAACGTTCGCATTCACCCTCTGACTTTTGTCAAACCACCCCTGCCAACTGAAGACCTAGACAGAACTTTCCTGGCAGGGACTGTGAACGCATGGCTGTAGAAGAGAAGCTGTTGAGAAGAGGAGCGACATTGTTCCATCCTCGGTCATACTAGGTCATTTTGTCGGGAGGCAGCAAGAATAACCGCTCCTAAACAAAATTTTTCATTAACAACTTCACTAATATATAGGTAGTTACTGACTTTCAATGCGATAGATTTCATATTTTAGATAACATTGTTGAGTATTTTTCTAATATTTACCAGTGACTGAATTTTCACTTGCTTTGACTGTAGCGATGTTTTTTCTATCTTCATTTCAGTATTTAGAAAGCAAATGAAGCAACTATGTTGTTAACATACGTCCTTTTCCTCTGAATGCCAAGTATTTGGCTTATTTCTTTAAATTTCCTACATGAATTCGAATACACTCACATCAACTGGTAACCATCCCTGCATATTGGTGTCTACATCTACTGCTACAGCGACTAATAATAGTCCCATTACTGTTTCTCCAACTACAAATAGTACGGTTTTGGCTAAATTAACTGATCGTGCCACTTATTTTGCTGTTGTTTCGGATACTTGTGCATTCAATCGTGATCTTTGCAAGACTCGATGTTCTCGATTGCCATTTCTGGACTTGGCCACTCAGATTTCACAACGACCTGCTCCATGGTTATATCATACAAATAGAGAATATTCAAGAGGTAAGATTATTATCACCATCCCCCATTCTTTCTTAGGAAAACTTAAGGTTTAATGTTGCTAAATATTCAATCTGATCACTGTTTAGTGATGGAAGATTATTTCGTGGGCGGAAAAATAAATTGTATTGGAACTGTTTTTCATTTGCAATGTAATAATAGCAAACCAACGAGAAATATTTTCTTTTTTTTGAATACTTGGAAGCATTAATAAGGTGATTAATAACCGAGTGAAAAGTTGGTGGAGTAAACAATAGCTTTGATGCATTAGTTAGTCAGTCTCCTTGCTTTCAATGGGTCATCGGTTCGCATCCCATTTCATCTACCTAGGTAGTATCACTAACCATCATGTAATAGATGTGGGTCATTTTGTAGTATATGAGCATGCATATAGTTGCTGAATTACCTTCTTAGGGGAAAATAATTGATGCAAGCTGAAGAGCATACATTGAAGCATTCTTATAGTTTATGTATCAGTGCCACAGAAATAACTTGAAAATCCAGGATTTTTAGGCACTCGTTTCCTTTTTATGCTTTTAGTTGGACGCTGCGCACTACATGAATTTCAAATTTGCTGGCGCAGATGTCATAAATATGTAAAAGACTCATTATTCACTGATTGGTGTCCTTTGACTCCGTCTAATCATTATGTACTCGTGGAGGCACTGCAGATTTGGGATTACTTTGCTATCGTAATGATGTCATGTGACAATCTATGGTGAGAGGCTAGTCAACACTTACAATAAAGTGAAAACCGCGTTAATAATTTAGACTGATTCAGAGACTGGTTTCTTAATAGTAAACTGATAATTAAAGTTGAGGAAAAAATGTAATCATTTACTGTTAATCGTTTATTTATTCACAGGACTTTGGGTTGATTACATGTCGACTAAAACAAAACTGACGCTTCAGGTAGCACATAGTTGGTAGAGCTCATGGTTGTTAGTTTTGTCGACTTTTCGTTTTTATCTTATCCGTATATTCTCCCATTTCTGTCATCGTTCACTATACTAGCTGATTATATCTGCTTAATTAGTGCATTATTGAACGTTTGCTTTCCTAAATATAGTACTCCGTTACAGGTAACTGCTAACATTTCACTGTCTTTTTACTATTTCATGTATTGCAGAGACACTATCCAAAGATCCACACGTTTTCTTGCGATACCCTCGTTATCGATGGCATTTAGACCCCCAGTCACCGCATAAAAAGCGTAAAGCAGCTAATCAGCGACTTTGGTATACTTTACAGAATAGTCTGAAAGCGCTTGGAATTCCACCTGATTTAGGTAAGTTCTTGTATACGGATAATTTTTCCAAACGCTTCTTTGTATCTAAAAAACGGTCAAACTGTTTGTTTAGATTGAGTATGAATTCAGTCGACGTCTGCTCCCTCGATAAGGTGGTTAGCCTTACACATCGCAATGACCCAGTGAGCTATGCTACCTGGAAAATTTGTTCTTTAAGCTTTTATCATGCGAGAAAAATCTGTTGGGTATTACTGAAACTGAAAGCAGTTACCATCATAGTGTTACAAGTCTACGCCACGATTGATGTCGAAGAGCGAGGTTGTACTGCTGGGTGAATGAGGTTTGTTGACAGTAGGTTGTTTCCTGTGGATCTCTAGCAGTCTATGCTGATACTATCTTCCCTGTGGCAAGGGGAAGGGAGTAGAAAAGGTCAACGGTAAAAGCTGTACATTCTTCGTGACCCCTTTTTATTGTGGTATCATCGGTAGGAGTTTTTTCTTTCGTTTACGGACCAAACACAATGAAACTTAAGTCAAAAACTATCAAAGAGGCAATACGTGAATGGTTTTGACAGATTTTCTTTGGACTCAATTCTTCTTACCTACTTTCTTCGCCAGATACTGTTTATAATGTGGCAATGTTTGAAGTGTTAACCACAGTCATATCTGTGAGCACTCACGTTATTTCTAGCCACTTTCTACATGGTGGACTAAGGAATTTTTATCACATTTCTCTATCAATGCATCAACATTATCTTCACTTTTTTCCAGTTCTGCAACTAATGATAACGATCTATAATCCGCATGGTATACTGCGGTTTTCTAAGTCCTCTAAACTTCATATCAAGACTTTGAATAGATGTAATCGTCAGCCATTTGGATTACAAGTCTCACTGGCACATTGAAACCTTAAACGCTTTCATCAGTCTGCATATACTGATTCCTTTTCCCTATATACATTTTTTTCTACCTTGTGTAACTTTTTTCTATCCGCTTACTCCTTGTACGGCAACTTGGACTAATGCACTTCTTTTCAAGGTTATACATTTGTGTCTATCTGTTTTTGTACACTGTTTGTCAAATCTGCATAGATTATGGAGTGGAAAAGAGAGCGAATTTTTAGACTAAATCCCTCCTGACAGTTGACTGTTTGACGGAACGACACAGTAAACACTGAGAAAGTTTATCACGATCAAATAAACTTTCTTGACAATATTTTATCATTTTTGCAGAATTTCAGGTGACTTTTGGTTAGTCTTAAGTGATATCTTGTACTCATGTTCCTTACTACTTATTTTTGCAGCGACAGGTAGATAAATCAACTTAAAACCTCGCAAAGAGAAGCCTTTGTGTTCAAGTTGTCCCACTTCACATCAACATGCAAACTACTACTTCAGTGGCATAGAAAAGGAGTGTTGCTCTTTACCAGCGAAGTCGCTGTATTTTAAAAGCACCTCTCAATGATGTATTCCGCAGTTATTCTGACCTTAGTCATAGGTTATTCCTATTGAATTATTATAACTAGTTGAATACCTGTGGCTTCATATGGAGATATCATCGGTTCACCAACTTTATCTCCATTATTCTGTGCTTAGCTAGTGATTTGTGTTCATAGCATCCTTCTCGTAAATATCGGCATGACAGTGAGTTAGTAATTTGAAACTCTAATGCAGTTAGCTGTAATAATGATATCCAGAATCATGGACAGCAGTTTTACTCAAAATGTTGTTACCAAAATTTAAAATCTATCATTGTGTGTAAATATTCACTGCAAATATATTTACAGTAAAGTTAACTGTATTTTCTAGCCCTAATCTCCTCTGTAAGAATGAAATATAATTATGCGTCATTCTGCCAATGACTTACGGCAAATGAACTGCGTTGAATCTTTGTTTCCCCCATTTTCGCCACTTACTCCATAGTGCCTATGCTATTTTAAGAATCTGTTCCTACCGTTTTCCTTTTTTGATAGAGAGTGTAATAAACTAATCAACTCGTTAGGTGTGTCTTCACGAATCAGCTGATTTGTGATTGTCATCTTTCGAGGTAATTCATGTGTAAAACTACCCCTGTAGTTATAAGTTATTTATTTTCCTTTTTCGCTTATTCAACCGTCATTGAGTGATAAACCTGGCTATCCTTCTGTCCTACTAGTGTTGATTAAGACTAGGCTGCTTTAAATGTAAGAAATGAAGTTAAATGGTTTCTTTCCTTTCTATGCATTCGGTTATCTTTCCTCACTTGTTTTTATAAACATTGGCTTCATTTTTGAATTTCTATTTTGTATTTTGTTTCACATCTTTTTTAAAACCGTGGTACTAAGCCACTATTACTTCTCTGATTTGTGTTGGCTACCTTTTTTTGTAATGTTTGAAACAGTTGTAATCGATAGTTAGAAATTCTATGGATGCTGTTTCTCAGGACTGGTTACAATGATGCAGTTTGATCGTTGTTTCTTTTTCACCAATAAACTATAATACCGTAACTTTGAGTAATTATGTCAATTCCTGTGTTATGTTTATGCCTATCCATTGTCTATTTCACTGCCATTTGAGAATTATTTGCCTTGTTCGTGTTCCTATCTTCTAGTTCCTGTTGTTACCAGACGAGCGTATTCTATCGCTGGACTTACAATCCCATCAAGTCTAGCTAACTACCTAGATGTTCTTAATCCGCGAGTGTCATCGATCAGTTATGCAGCAGCGAATAACAACAATTGTAATACTCTGAATACTTCTACGGGTTCAGCCAACCGATTCCAGCACTCAAGTTCATTTGGAACAATCGTAAATGTTAACTCAAATTCAATTCCACGAAAAGTTTTTGTCATAATAATCATGGAGAATATACGTATGATACGACGATGACACTACATGATGACGAAGAACATGATTTTACTGTCAGCGATCGAAGTCAGGATAGTGAGTGCTTTCTAAATGGTCGTCTTGGAGGTGGCGGTGATGGGGATGACAGTACACAACCATTTGATGGATTAATTACAGCAAATAAGCGAATGAATGGCACCAAGCTAAACTCAGATGATTTCAACATATCTGATCGTAAAGATATACAGGACGATAGTAGAGATACCAATCATGCCAACAATAGTAAGCATACCATGTCAAACAAATCGGATTATTGTAAAACGTATGATTTAGACAATGTGTCTGAAGATGGTGATGATGAGAACGGAGAATATAATGAAGATGATAACGGAGAGGATGGAGAAGATATGGATGATGATGACTGCAATGATACTGAATGGCTCTCTGAACGTCGTCGCCGAGGGGGAGGAAATGGAAATTTACTAAGTTGTGGTTCCGGAGATGGTGGTGTTAATGCTGATGGTAGCAGGAGAAGAGGTAAAACACGATCTGTGTATTCACTGAAAGTAGCCAAACTCAATCGGAAAATCGTTAATCAGAAAGCTAGTCGTTCGTCTCAAGCCTTTCCTATGCTTGCTAATCGTTTGGGAGGCAGAAAATTCACTAAGAGCCATTTGGGTAGACCGTTTGCTGGTCGATTACGAGTAAGGTTTTAAACACTTTTTTCTCTAATTCTAGGTTTGTTTTTGCATAACTTACTCTTATTTAACGGTGGTTTGGTATTCTCTGAAATAAGTTAAGACAAAGCCGAATCACCACCATCATCATCCTGAGCCACAAATATTTTCCACCATCACTCTTATTTAATGACATCGAAGTGAAACTTAGTCACTGTAGTAGATTGCAACTCCATTTTAGTCCATTTATTAGAAATTTCACACAGTGAAAAAGTATCGTCTACTGGATAACGTTTTGGACACAATTTATTGTTGACATTCATACCAGATAACGCCACTACTTTTCGACAGTTTATGCACTTCTGATTCTCTCCTTCTTTGCGATAAAGGCTGTCTGAGCTCAAAGCTTAACTTAGTCGAAATTAGTAAAATAAGAAATCCAGAGAAAGGCTAGACTGACTAAAGATATGCGTACAATTACATACAATAAAGTGGGACAGGCTCACACCATTAAAAACTAACTTAGTTGGTTGGAGGCAGAGATTAATAGCCGAATTTTTGTTTGTCGAACCAACACATACATACAATAGAAATGATTTATCATCTTTTCGAGATACATGTAAAATCCAACTATCCATATCACAAACAAGGAAAGACGATTACCAGTACTAAATCATGTCTCAATGTTGTGGAGTTATTTTGATAGGACTATAGACAGTAAGTTGTGTCCAAAACGTAATCGAGTAAATAATGCTGTTTCACTGTATAAAGCCTGCGACAAACAAAACAAAATGAAATTACTCTTGTTTAACGTTAGTAGTTTTTGCTGTCTGATTGATTAGTGTTTATCGATGTGCACCATCATTCCCTAGATTTCAATGCTCCCAAAATGCTATCTTCAAAGTTACGCATTCGGCTATTGCTGAGTTATTTAATATTTCAGCACACTATATCCAGTACACTGTAATAAGGTATTATTTTCTTTTTTCTTACAATTCTAAACGTAGTTTTCATTTTTATCAGCATCGTTACGATTACTACTAAATAATTGGCCAGTATCCTCATTTCTGTCAAACAGCTGTTCTTTGCGACTTAAGCTGCTGTGTATTAGCGTCTAAACTTGTCAATTCATTCTGGGTGTGTTTCTAAAAATCTTCATCCAACCTATTTTTCGATCGTGATCCAGCCCCTTCCTTATGATGGTTGCCAGAATTGCTATTTTTGATCGGTTAATTTTAGATTCCTAGTTTTATGCAAACCCGCGATTATATACCAGATAGCCACCAAACTCACTCCTATCTCATTTTACAGTTGCACTTACAAAACGTTTTATGTCAGAAGTAACACCTGTGAAATAAGTGTCGTCATATGGCACAAAAAAGTAGTCTTATATCCATTGATAAGCGTTTATCCGCTGATTACTTACAGTCCCATCACCACTTATCAATTATTGTCTGTCTGATATATTATATTATCAGTGGAGTTGTTAAACAGTTTCTAAGGCGCGCTACTACTACTAATAATAATAATTCACTTTATTCCAAACAATTTGTGGTACAATTTGGAATTCTCAGCGTGATATATTGCAGCAACAACAAAATATAAGTATATCCATACTCCTTTACAACATTTAGAAATGTTTTATTATAAAAATTTAAGTAATGTAAAGAATATTAAAAACAAAAAAACTTTACAGTGTTAGTTGAATTATTGAAATGAGATTTTTAACTGTTACAAAGTTGATGTCTGATTTCTGTTCTAACACTTCCTCCCTCACAAAGTATGCGTGGTAGGTAAGGTACAGTCAAATTCGTATACTTAGCTGTACGAGCGTACGGTCTTGTGTAGTTTCTCCTTGTCCTCCTGAAAAGATGAATGGAGAGACCTGTGAATGAAGTGGATGCTCAGTGTCAGTTAAAATTTCTGTAGCTAGTTGCTTGCTGGAATTTAGGTGTCTATCAACTACAGTGTTGATCAGCTGAGCCAGAGACACACCACTCACCCTACTGACGTCTTTCAAAGTCCTACGCAACATAGCATAGTCCTTTTCTAGGAGACCAGGAAAGATCAGTGGAGAACAATATAGAAGGATAGGTAAAATGCAGGAATTAATAAATTGTAAAAGAAGAGGTTGAGTTATACGAGAGAGCCTCAGTTTCTTTATGTAATAAGTTAGACGAAAGATTTTTTTACAAGTCAACAAAACACGAGACGATCAACAAAGGTCAGAAATTGAACTCAACCCAAGATAGTTCACACTCGATTTTCTTTCTGCAGAAATATAATCAATGCAACAGGCGTCATGAGATTTAAGCAGCTCACACAAGTCTTGTCTACGCTTCAGGCTAAAATTAAAAGTCTGATATCTAGAAGGGTTTAACTTGAGACCATTTGAGAGAGACCATTGGCCAACTACAGGCAAGAATTAACTTAATTTAGAGCAACTTAAATGAGAGTTAACTGGAATCGACACCGTCAGGTCATCAGCATACTTAATAAAATTAGTTTCAATAGAATAAGGTAAATCGTGCAAAAGAACGAAAACAGAAAAGAAAGTACAGCACCTTAAGGCATAGCAGCTTAAGTAAGCAATAAAGTCGAGCGCTTCCCTTTATAGACAGTGTACTGTTTCCTTTCAGAAAAATAAGAATACAGTCGCTTTTTAGCGAATGGCTCAGTATGAGCTATGTCTAGCTTATTTAACGAGAGTGGTCTAGGAACAGTTAAAGGCTGATGAGTAATCCAGAAAGGCACAACGAACATACTTAACACCTTTGTCGAGACTAGAAACAATAATATGATGCAAGACAGTGGCTGCATCTAAAGTACCCCTCCGGTGTTTGTAGGCAAGCTGTTGTGAATCTTTTCAAGTTGTTATTCATCGTAGACTGACATCAGTTGGAGGAACAATGGAAACCTGGGAGCACTGGACAGCTGTTCCGTCCTAGTATGGGGAGCTTCAGCAGTGCGCACCCACGACTCCGCCAGGGATCGAGCCCGCGACTTTCAGGTTCCGTGGCCAGCACGCTACCATTGAGCCACTGAGTCGGAATCCATTGGCCCATATTTCCAACTTCTGTCAGTTCACGACATAGCGCAACCATCACCCAATGTCATCGTTGAGTAACTGTCCTCACGAACATCCCCTGCTGGTCACGACTTCTCATTGGAATTTCGGGAATCACCTCTCGAAGCTGGTCACCAATGAGCACCAGTTCAATTGTATTTCGAGGGGGTTGTGGGGATTTAGAAATATTTTCAAGTTAGTATTAGTTTTGGATCTCTGAAAACCATAAATAAAGGACTTTAGACATTTAAATACATGTTTATTAAAACTAGGAAAGCAGTTGTCCATTTGATTTTGGACATTAGGAAGAGTGAAATCAGCTTCCAGGCGTATGAATGACTTGTTTAATGCGCAGATATCCGAACAAACTTCTTTTGTCATCTGTTTTGTACCGGAAAGTTCTTTAAATAATTCCCATATATTGGAAGAGTTTTTACACGATAGAAATGACTGGTTGTAAATAGTATTCAGACGTTTTATTTCAGACTTAATTAGTTAAGTCTTTTAACGCCAAGGTGATCTCTGGTCATATATAACCTTCCCTTTTCTATTTGGAGCCTCTTGAGATGAGGAGAGGAAAATCTGTCGAATCTTATGCAAATTGTTTCAGCAGAGCAGCAGCTATCAAGACAGAACCTGAGATAGCTTGTGATATTGGTGATAGTGTTGTCTAAAACTTCATCAGCAAATATATCCCAGTCTGTTTCTATAAGCATGCTTCTGAAACGTAATATATTCTCCTGTAAAAAGCATCTGTATTGAACTTTCCTGGAAAGGTATCCGAAAGCTTTCTTGTGTAATTTGCCGTACACTTTAGGCAAAACACGAACAATGCAGTGGTCAGAATTTAGCAGCGGAGCCCGTTTACAGGCTTCATATATTGCTAGGTTCATTTGTAAATACTAAGTCTAGAGTGTTGTCAAGACGAGTGGAAAAGTTAACCATATTTTTGTGACCCAATGATACTAGAAAACTACAGTCACATAAGTTGAAATCTCCACGGACTATAGACAAGGAGTTACCCAGAACCGGAACAGCAAATTCTGTGAATTCATCAGCAAAAGTTGACCAATTTGAGAAACTGCAGTCAGGTGTGACATAAATGTTATATATATATATATATATATATATATATATATATATATATATATATATATTTGTATTCGCTCAAATGTTTGGGATGACATTTAGTGGTTATACACTCAATTTTTCATGAGAGAAGCAAAAGCATACATAGTTGGAGGCGGACCAGTTTGCTTTGATAAATGTTACTACACCGCCACATTTCTTCTTGGAAAAGCTTTGATCTTGTCGAAATAATTTGAAATCATCTAAGCAGACTAAATCATCATCATATAGGTTGTGAACCCATATTTCCTGTAGCATTATTACACCCATGTTTCGATAAACATTTGTAGACAAGAGTGACTGAAGGTAATCAACTTTATTCGGCAACGACCTGCAGTTTGTACCAAGTATTTCCGGAATAGTCATTTGATCTATTGTCATAAGCTTCAGAGCCCGTTACCATCCACCGTAGTGCTTCTTCTTAATTTCCCTGTCAACGTGTGAAGCGATAGGTTGTAATGACTTTAAAAATGCTCGAGAGTATACAATACAATTGGTTGACAATTGAACGACTAAAACAATGTAGAAACGAGAAATTTGATGCAATATATTGTGATAAAAAGGTAGCCCAGAATTCAAGCAGACCGCCTGTTGTATTATTTAGTGCAGAAACGTTATATAGTGTATTCTTTTGTTGACTGGTTCTGAGTTCGTTAGTCAAAAAGAAAATACTTGATTTCACCTCCGGTATATGTATATAATAAATAGTTCAAAGTTTTCTTATCCCAGCAAAATACTTTGCATATAAGTGACTGCTTTGGTTCTGTATTGCATCATTTTATTTTGATCTGGTTTATCAGGGAATTTACTTAAGCTAGTGAGGTCTTCTTTTTTTCATCACTTGGACTTCAAGCATAATTATATATATTGGGTCAACAGTATCAAGTTGTGATTTGGTTTCCATTTCGGTCATCCATTGGTGTAGTGTGCAGTTACTTAGATAAAATTACAGCGTCTCCATTCACAAAAAAAATTAGATGCTACAAATTTCAAGTTGACCAGACATTTAAAAATCCTCTTGAATCGCTGAGTGATGAACTTAAAATAGTAGCCCAACTGATTCAAAACACTAACTGCACTGACATGCATATCTTGAGTTTTTCTATGTAACTGATCAAGTTGAGAATCGAAACGAGTTTTATTTGAAAATACCATGAAGCATCTGACTGAAACGGTCTACCTATGCTTTCTTTGACAATCTCTGTTGAGTTCTGGGACCTCGAATGTCCCGACCTTGAATTTACAATTTTTTCAAATGGTGGACGTAATGAAATATGAACACCATACGGACATGATTATGTTACTAGTTACTGGTAAAATATTAGCCTCCACATCGTTATTCAGGTTGTACATAGCCTATAACGAACATATTCCACAAGACTTGGTTACTTGTTCATCCTCTAACTAGTATTTAGATATTATAAAGCACATTATAGGCTAATAGTCATCTTTTGTTTACAGAGGTCATCATTGAGTTCAGACTGTTGAACACTACTCAGATCCGAAGTTCTCTTGGAAGAATAAATATTTTATAAGTTTAACAACACCTTGAAAAAATACGTCAAGCATGATAATCTATAACTACTCTTTTCTACTGTTAAAAGCTAACAGTTATTTGGGCAAAGTTGCTCGTTTATGCCATTCCGTTTTCAATTCTGCCATCAATGATATTTTTCGGTTAGCTTTTAAGGTGCATGGTATATTCTAAAGAAATGTCAGTCTTGTTAATTTAGATTATTTCGCTTTTCTAGTGTGTGATGTACATGCTAGTATAGCTATCAAAATATACATTCTTAAAATTGACAAGATTCTCTCTGAACACCGAAGACTATATACTACTCAATGGCTTACTGAGAAACTCGTATTAAAAATCAAAAAAAACTCCTGTCTATGACCTCAATAGCTGTTCGTGTTATTACGTAAACTAAATGAAGTCTGGAAGTGTCGTCAGCTGAATTCGAACAGTATGTCGAATCTGGTGTATATCTCAGTAGTGTTAGTGTAGGAAATTGATACGGATACAAGAACTATGCATGTTTGGAAATCGTTCAAATATTGTCGAATATCAGATAAAACAATACTAAAATTACTGAAGTACTTTTCCTCCATATACAAGATTTTCATATTTTACCGATAACATTTTTTGTGACGTATTTCTTACTTGTTTTGTAGAAAGTTTGTGTTTTTAAGAAAATTTCTCTTGTTTTTCACTCCGTTTCACATATTTGATTGTTGTTCCTCATATTTATAGTCCCCTTACCAATGTTTTTCATTTTATCTCAGGCTAACGAATCACATGTGGATGATATTTCTTATACATTTACAAAATCTAGTCCTTCTGTTGGACGTCGTGGTAGTCGAGCTATTACTCGTCTCGGTACCAGACATATAGGTGATAGCTTGAAAACACTTCAACAGTATGGAACTATTAGAGAAAAGATAAATGAATACAATGGTATGTTGGTTATTATTTAAAATTTAACTTTTTACTGCGTTGCTTGTTTTCAATCCACTGTAGGCATGTTGGACACGAGATATTGCAGGTATGGTTGTCAGTGATTTACGTACATCTTCGTTTGTCTTCGGACGAACATTCCATGACTAAAACTAGATATTCCTATCTAACTATTCCATGAATTATTTTTATCTTTGATCAGAAATGTAGTTATAGACGAAGGCAGGTTACAACAGACAAATATTTGTAAATATCTAGTAACTGCAAAACTGGAATGCATACTTAAAGACTCCTGAAATTTCGTTGCAAGGGTGTAAAATCACCATACTTTCTTTGAATATATTCTCAAAATGAAATTTAGTTAACTGCATCTCAATACCTATGCTATTTCACGTAGGCATCTGACTGTTAGAATCACAATGGTTAGAGCGTGAAACTGAATATCAATATCTGTGAGAAGTTTGTGCATTCTAGAATGAATCAGTATGCTATGAATAAATTTGTAATGAGTATTTACACACAATGATAAGCTTTTTAACGTTCATCATACTTCAAGCAAGACTATTACATATACCAAAATTTAGTACTAGTCCAGTGTTCATTGACATAGATGGAAGAAGCAAGGAATAGAAATAAACATTTTCATCAATTGATATGAAGGTGAACGATAGTTTTTTCCGAAATATCATCAAAATTCAAAATGTATCCATGTGTGTAAATATTCATCAAAACATATTTATGGTGAATTAAAATTGAATATTTCTACAAACCATCATACACAAAATTGGTGATGTGACTCATATTTTGCGCACAAGCTGATGCATATCCACGTTTTTTACTTCCCTCTCTAAAAAGCATCACAGGATACTTTTTATTCATGTCATTTTTTACAAAGTGGGCAAATGTGAACCCTGACTGACAAAGTGGTTGACGTATATGTCGGAAATGCCTAGCCATCAGCTACTTCAATATTTTTATATCAAACGGAGCAGGAATGAATGTAAAAGCTTTTAAAATAGAAAGGTGAAACAATCGACTTGGTGTTTCCAGCTGTTGACTAAGAGCATTAGGAGTAGATGTTTTTATACTTTCCAGGTATCGTTTTTAGTTGTTTTTTTACAAGTGCAAGAAACAACAAGTACTGTACTTCAAAATTTTCATTGATTGGTCAGATATAACCGTGTACTCCTGGTGACGTGGCTAATAATCAGTTTTAAATGGTCTGAATGCATTCGCGCTCTGATATTTCCGAAAGTTTGAATATTTTAATTTAACTTCATTTTTGAGATTTCTTCTATGTACTTATTTGTTTCTATCCACTCGTTCTTTGCATGCTTTTGTGAAGTTTGGCAACTCGAACCTGTCTTCACAAAGTTCTACGTTAATTTTGTCCCCCCGCCTATGGATGAAAATTTCGTTTTTTACTCGAGTAATTACTTGTCGGAAAACTCAACGTCATTTGGACCGTTTGAGATATCCATTGTTCATCAGACCTGTATTCATGATAAGAGGGGGGCGATTATGAGCAAACAGGAAAAGCTGGTTGCACATGAATTCAAACCAAACAGTCTTCAGATTACTGGGTGGCACTGCGCACACTAAGCTTCGAAACCCAGCTGATGACCAGTTCAACCCTAATCATAACTATCAATCAGTTAACCCATGAACATTTCGAATAGTTCAACTTATAATTTGTCTACCGATTCCCCTCTCTAGTGTCAGTCTTATTTGGATTGGGATAAGGAGACCCGGCTGAATAATTACTATAATGACAATAAACTGAGCGTTACGTGTCCTGTATTGATATGCTAGCTGAAACAATCCTTGGTTGACTGAAGTGAAGGCCCCCAACTTAGTATCGCAGTTGATAAACTGAGAAACACTAATTCGAAATTAAAAAGGGTTAGAGACAAATTTAATCTGTCTAAAATATGCGAATATATTTTGTAATGATGTATAATTTTGCTTAAATACTTTTAATTCAAATATCAGGATGTTTGTTGTACTATTCCCAATTCTCCTCAAGTCACATTATGCAGATCGAATGGTGCAACAGTCAAAGAGGAAACAAACATCACTTTCAGAATCAACTGCACAAAGTGATCGCCTTCTTCATCTACATGAATATTACGCAGCAACCGAACGTTATGCTGTCTCATCACTTATATCAATGTATATGGGCATCTTGAACATGAATTTGATTATCGAAGTGTAAAGATATTGAACTGAGAGAATACAAAAGATACCTAAGGACTCATACAGGGCCTGCCATTCAGATCAGCAGGTGCATAGTCGTTCGACCCTATTTTTAAAATAGTAGGAAAAAGCATAAACAACTACGAGGTCAGTGGTCGATCAAAGAGACAACCAATGGGAAAATCTGTGCAGTCAATGGCTGAACAATTAAGCGAAACTACCAATCACATACTACTTGATCAGGCCAGGCTACTAAATCATTCATTGAGAAATCCTGAAGTTACTAATGACGTTGCTTGAAAAGACAACGCAGATTTTTCGATCAAGCTATTCAGCTCAGAGAGCTCAACAACACCTGAGCTGCAAATATTCTCCATTATTAATATGAGAGTAAAACATGGGCACTGTAGTTGATTGTAATTCCATTTTTCTCCATTATACTAATGTTATACGAAGACTATATATCACATTGAAATTTAATACATTTAGGAATTCAATTAGTATTTATTGGCCGCTTGGTTAACTAGTTTACTAGTTACTAGCCGGTCCTAAGCCCAGGCAAAGAGGTAAACTTGGACATAGGGCTAGCAACCCTACCACAGAAAACCAATCCAATCGCTAAAGAAACTTGAAAGCACAAAGTAAACATAAAAAATAAAGCAAACTTATTCTTCGCTGGTATCGGAGAGGCGAAATGACGCCAGATGGTGAAAGCCTGCCTTCGGGAAGCCAGTTGGCAGATGTGTCTTTTCTTCCTCGATGAAAGCGAAAGTAAACATGGGGATATGGAATGTCCGCACAATGTTTGAAGTTGGTTGGCAAGGCTGCCCAGATTGCTAAAGAAATGAGAAGATATGGCGTGGAAGTGCTAGGAATCTGCCAAGGCAGATCGAATGGAAGTGGACTCTCTCAACTGTCAACTGGAAAGCCAATAATCTACTCCGATATTGCCACCCAGACGACAACCACGAGCACACTGAGTTTCGGAGTGGTTATCACCATGTCCCCAACAGCATCGAAGGCTCTCATGCAGTGGGGGCCAATCTCCTCCTGCAGGATCATGACAGAAGGAAAGTCACAATCATACAATGCTACACTACGCACCCACAAATAATGCAGATGAAGAGAAGAAGGAGGAATTGAGCAGACAACTTCAATCAACACTGGACAAGACGTCAGTTGGCGACACCAATATTCTAATGAGTGGGATGACATGAATGCTAAACTGGTAGCGGACAACACAGGAAGGGAACCAATCATGAGTTGAGAAGCACTCGGTGAAATGAATGAGAACGGAGAACTATTTCCAGACTTCTGTACATTCAATGATTTGGTGATTGGAGGCGAGGCAGTGTGTACAAACACAAGGATATCTACAAGGCAGCAACATGGACTTCACCAGACAACAACACACACTAAAAATCAGATCGAATTCACCTCAATCTCAAGAAAGTGGGGACGGAGACGTAGCCTACTGGACACAAGATCAAGAAGGGGAGCAGAGTTAGGTTCACACTACCCACTATCTAGTGCAAAATTAGGAACCTTCAAAATCAAGTTGAAAGCCTTCAAAGAAGCTAGCGATAGACCACAGTTCAAGTTCAACAACTACAACAACAACAACAACAGAAACTGAACTGAAGGACGAAACTACTAAGGACATCTTCACGTCAGTCAGTCATCAGGACAAAATAGGAAACATTCAGCAACATCTCTGAAGGAACCTGTGTGGATGAACACTGGAAGTATTTGAAAGCCATGTGGAAAGAAACCTGCACAACCGTATTAGGAAGGAAGAAGAAACAAAACAATGAATGGAATGATCTCGACGGACACATGGAAGCTGATGGAACAGGGAGAGGAAGATGGTTAAGCAGAAGATGAACCAGTGCAATGCAGTACAGTGCATGGATGAACAACCAAAAGAGGGACTGAATACAACTTAAAAAACACTACACTGGACAAAGCAGTGGAGAAGAGTGCGCACAAACACAAAAAACACCTCTACCTCACATTGGCAAGTGAAGCAGAACAGGCTGCCGGCTGGTAGGAGAGACCTGACAACACCATATCAAATAACCAGGTTACTACTTACCGTCTAGGAGGAGATCAACACAGATGAAACCAAAGAAGGATAGCGAAGGAAAACTAGTTACCAAAGAGGAGAAACAAAGGAAACAATGGACTGACCACTTCAAAAAACTCTTGAATCGACCACCACCACCATCGCCACCTGCAACTCGTCCAGAAATACCACCAGCAACGGCAGAACTAACACAGTGAACACAGGACCTCCGACAAAAGCAGAAGTCCTGAATGCCATAAAACTGCTGAAATCCGGGAAAGCAACAGGACCAGATGGAATTCCTCCAGAACCACTGAAAACAGACGCACAGACATTAGCAGACGACATGCTCACACCACTACTGCAGAAGGCTTGAAAAGAAGAAAGGAAAGCTTCCTGCCTACCGATTGGAAGAAGGTGTACCTTGTCCAAATCCAAAAGAGGGGAGACATAAGTCTTTGCAAGAACTGGCGAGGAATCATGCTGCTGTCCACCCCAAGTCAGCAAAATATTATGCCGCATCCTCCTGAAGAGACTAAAGGATGCACTGGATTCAAAATTACGACCGGAACATGCTAGCTGCATTCAGGAAGTACAAATCATGTGTGGACCAAATTGCAACACTACTTTACACATCATCATAGAACAGAGTAGAGAATGGCAGTCAAGTCAACTCTCTACCTCAACTTCATCGACTTTGAGAAGGCCTCCGACAGCGTCGACCGAGAAGTAATTTGGCAGGCAGCTAGCTACTTCAACACTACGGTTCTAGTGCCACAAATCTTTATCAACCTCATTCAACAGCGATATGACGATGTCACATGCCAAGTGATCCACAATGGAAAGCTCAGTGACGCCTTTGAAGTGAAGTGAAGTGAAGTGAAGACAGGAGTAAGACAAGGCTGCCACCTACTATCACCCATGATCTTCCTGATTGTGGTCGACTGGACTGATCATGCACTGGACGACTGCGAGGAGCGAGAACATGGGCATACACTGGCTGTACCGATGAAAAGACCCCAGAAGAAGATTTGGATTTCGCTGCCGATGATGGTTTATGTCTGATGACTAATGTCGCACAAACTCGAAGATCTACAGGCGAAAACTAACAAGTTGACAGAAGAGGCGAGGCGAGGCAGGGCAGCGAAGACGGGACTTCAAGTGAGTGTGGAGAAGACAGAGGTGACGAAGATACCCAACCAACAACAGCATCAACAACAATCACCACCAACGGGAGAAATCTAAACGAAGTAGTCTCTTTCACCTACCTACCTACCTACCTACCTACCTACCTACCTACCTACCTACCTACCTACCTACCTACCTACCTACCTACCTACCTACCTACCTACCTACCTACCTACCTACCTACCTACCTACCTACCTACCTACCTACCTACCTACCTACCTACCTACCTACCTACCTACCTACCTAGGCAGCATCGTCTCAACTACAGGCGGCGGCACAGACACAGATGAGGACGTCTTAGCCAGGATCGGAAAGACAGCAATACAGGCTTTCATTAATCTGAAATCAGTGGGGAGATCTACTCCACTGGACTTCGCTCAGTATAAAGAACAAGATCCGGATTTTCTTCACCAATGTCAAGTAAGTCAGTGCTTCTATGTGATGGTTCAAAAACTTGGCCGTTGACGAAAAGTATTTCCAACAAACTATAGACATACATCAATAATAGCTGCGGCCTACACTCACTCGATACTGAAGATCAGATCATATGGCCAGAATAATAAGAATAAGCAACAAGGAACTCTGGTTGGTAACGAACCAACCAAGAACCTATCACCCAACAAATATGCAGTAGAAGAAAGTGGAGATGGATTGGGCAACACTGAGAAGACCATTCGGGGAGATCACGCGTCAGGCCCTCGGGTGGAACCCAAAGGGGAAACGACGAGTTGGGTTTCCCAGCTGAGGGTGACATGGAGGAGATCGTGTGAGGAAGAAATGAAAGCTTGTGAGGAATCGTGGCGCCAGGTTCAAAAGACTGGAGAGAACAGAGTCCAATGGAGACGTGCTACCGAAGCCCTATGTTCTACTAGGAACCCGAGGGAAAAATAATAATTTGTTGGCCGTCTTCAGCTCCTTTCCCATGTAGTGAAAATCATTAAATAGTGCGCCTTTATCAGCGCTCATCAATAGACATATTGGTTTTCAATTTCTTTCCTGTTATGTTTTCACTGGTGTGTTCTCTTTTATTTCATTTTCAAAGTTTTGTCTTTGTTCTGTGTTTCGTTTGTTATGGTCGGTGTTCTTATTTATTGTATAACAGTTATAGTTCCCTGATGATAAGAGTATTTTAGGCACTCAATTATTCGACCTAAGGGTTGTTTAAATGTTTTTGTGTTGATCTGCATAGTTGAGAAAATCTTTTAATAGTTGGTTGCGAGAAATTTGACCTTACATCGATTATAACAAAATTGCACATATATTTCAATTACGTATGCCTCATATTCAATTTTCAAGTTTGTTATTGCACCCTCCAAATGAAGTGAGTTAATCTTGTTAGTTTTGTTCACATGCATGTTTCGTTAAGTGTTTTTAAGGTTTACATATTTTTTAAAACAATTATCAGGAAACATAATTGTTACTTACTTCTCTATCATTTATGCTACATTTCTTTTGCGCAATAAGATACTTGGGATGTCGATAATGAACCAGGTTATCAGTTAAATGCTACGCCTATAACTCCAACAACGACTGAAAAACGTGAATCCCAAACACTTGGAGATTGTAATTCAAATGATCGATTCAATGCTTCTAATATATATCCATCATTATCCCCATCTTCGACAAATCCATTCTATCACCACCATTCTTCCATTATGAGCAATGATCGCTCTTTATCAACACTGTATGAAGCCCATCTGCAAAATCGATCCTATCCTGAAGATAATCTACCGTCATTTTCATCTCAGTCGAAATTGTTTCGATCATCAGGTACACCAATGAATTGGTCTCATTTATTATGTCCAAATCAGTCGAATACTGGTACATCACCGTCGACTACAGTTAGCTTGACTTCATCATCAACATCTTCATGTGTTTTATCATCATCCTCTCCAATGGATTCATGTCGTATAACAGAACAGTCCGATAATGTGTGTACACCGCGTCGTTCAGATTCTAATAATGAATCTGTTATGCATGTGGGAGAGCTATCTGCTAACCATGAACCCAGTCCACATCGTATTTCACCTATTCATCGTGCCAATATGTCTAAACTGTCAAATAGTGTGAATGTGGTAAACCGGAACAATTCAGTCCCAATACCTACTGATAGCGCACACAGTACCACTTCTATAAATAATACGGTTGCTGTTGTTAATCCTACTTTCAGTAATATCGACCACAAAAGTAATAATAATAATAACACATTGAATACGCAAGGTAATAGTAACATGATGAGAACAGTAGATTTTTCCAGTGTTACTGATAAATCTAATAATGGACGCGTGGTTGGTGACTTACAAACATTTGTCAATCCTCAAACAGCTACTACAACGGTGACCTTTTTTATCTGTGAGGTATGTTCATCACGATATCGGTCTACAGCTGGATTACGCTATCATTATCATAGTCAGCATTCAGGTTATACTCCGCAAAATCCTATATCTGCATCAGCATCAAGACTCGTTGTCCCAGTCGGTGAAGAGCGAGGTATTGGTGGAGGGTTACGTGGAGGACGACCAAGACGACATAGAGGTATGTATAAATTAATTTGTGTTTCTTTTTTATGCCATTTTGCATTAACGTCACAGAGTATGTATTATTTCTTTGAAATGTCTTCTGGATCTAAATTCAGGTTCAAAACAAGAAGAAACGTGAACGTTTTTAATGGGTTTCGACTTATTGGATAATATTAAATAATCTTTGTCTGTTTACTGAAGATTAGTTGTTCAGTGTGACTGCATTTACTCCTCTACAGTTGTGATATGCCTTTTCAGTCAGATGAGAAAGAGGATTGATAATCAACAGTAAGCACTTGAGTTCTGTGGTTGACATTTTCTGACTGCTTACAATTTAGATCACTTCATCCTGAACTTTCTGAACTCGATTTATGTTGTTGACGTTGTTGTTGTCGTCTGCGACCTTCCAGTGTCATCAGTTCTATGATTACCATGTGGATCCTTCTTGGAATATGTGGCTTATTAAGTACATACTTTAAAAGCCTTAGTACTGACAGAATTGCTGTCTATGGCATAGTCATATATTGCTTTCAGAACCACTGTAAGTCTAAAAGCAACGTCACTGAAGACACTGGTTGTTCTTAGCAAAAACCTCTTTATTGTCTTCCACGTCCTTCAGTACGAATGACACCTCAGTTCTGAAATTAGTTCTGCACTTTCGCCATTATAAAGTTAACTTCTTTTGATCTGACAGACTTCCAGTCGCTTTTTTCTTGTCTGGTTAAACTTTGAGCGAAAACATTTGAACCAGTAGAGCTCAACCACACCATGTTAGTGGAGCAGCCATTCGACTTCGGTGCTGAAGCTTGAACCTATCCGGAAGTCATCTTCAAATTATCTAAGGAATCCATTATCTATGAATCGACACCGATAGTCATTTACGATTCTGTTCCAACAACCATTTGTTTCTGGTCAGCATTAACTTCAGACATAAAAAGGAGACTTTCGCTTTGCCTTTACCGATATCATGGTTATGGCTGACAACGAGTAATCTTTTCTCCATAAGACATCATTGGAGAGGATTGTTACTTTTTGGAGTACCTGGTTGGATTATGATTATGCATTATTTTGCGTATTTGTATTTGCACCTTTATTGGCGCAGGACTATAATCGCCTCAGCAGCTTCTCAACTGATGTAGCCACTCACTTGACCAATCCACTTTTTCTTGTTGACCTAGACAGTGATTCAGCCCTGATGCAAGAGTTTACGTTTTATAACCGAATAGCATGATTGGAGTGGTTGCGATGCCTGTCTGATCGATGAAAGATTGCGATCTTACGCAACTGTTCGTTTGTTCGGTAATTGGCTGCTTGTCACTCACTGATGTTTAATCACCTTGCCAGTTATCATCATAACTGCCTATCCTAATGAGAAAGAAAACTGTTAATGTCATTAGCTAGCATGCAGAATCTATTTCTTTACTCAAGATCTATTTCAGGTTGTTTAACATATTTCCTCTTCCGGATTAATACTAAGTTACGCAGTCAAATAAATTAGGTTGGTTATAATTTTCAATTTAGGACTAATTGTCGATTACATATTTGTCTGAAGTGTTGTAAGTACTAGTCTTATAAAACCCAGTAATGAGCACCTTTTTGAATGTTATTTGTATGTGAACAACTAAAGTTACCTGTAAACTAATTTCCAATTTTTTTTCCAAAACCCGAAACTAGGCTCAACAGCTTCGTCTAAATCCCGTGATAAGTCATCTAATTCACACTATTCCACTGAGTATCAAGGGTCATCTGAACAAGATGAAAGATCTAATAGTTTTTTAGCAGCACACTATTCTAGTAAGTTCAAATTGATGTGACTTTTTCTCCATTTTGAATGATCAAGTTTTTTGTGGTAATAGATTGATTGATATACCTCACTTTTCATGGACTCCTAATTCGCTTCGATACTAGCTTTCACAAATATGTACCTGTTATTTAATGTATCGTTTGTATTTAAACTCATTATATACTCATGAGACTGATAAAAGATGAAATCATATGTACTATTTTCTGACCGATAGCTTCTTCCTTGACGTGACAGTCTGGCTTTGCATATCACAATGACCTAACGAGCTACGCTTGCTAAAACACATTCCTTAAGGTCCCGTTGGAATATGTCCAGTAAGATTTCCAGGGGAAGCCTTTCTGATGACGATGCTTGTTCTTGTGCTACTCTTAGATGTAGTTTATTTCTGTGTTGCATATATGTTTGTTGTCCGATGGCTACGTGATATACCACACTCCATATTTGCCAATTATTGTTCCATCTATCCATCTGTCGTACTCCGGTTGATATTCGCAGGCAAATACTGGTGTTCCCAATTTGAACGTCTTCCTGGTACTCTCTGATGGTCTTTTGGGACACATTTTTGATGATTTCCTGTTTCCTGTGACCACTAAGTCGCAGACATGCGTGGTCGGGGTCAAAACGGGCAGTCCAAAAAGAGAGGCGACCCTCTAAAGATGGTTGATAGCAATATGATCCACTTGTGCCTATCGTTGGTTTGATCTTGGCGGAATTTCCAAAAGTATTTAGAATGCGGCCGTGGATCTTGGTAGCTTCGTAATCAATGGATACCCGCAAATGCAACCGTGCAGGTTCTGAGCACAATGAAGAGTGGGACAAACCTAAGTGTATGCTGACAAGAAATCTGCTCAGTGACCACGAACAGCGAACGTTAGCGATGGAGAAGGTGTTGGTTCCAAGTAACAGAAGGCTGATATTTAGAACTGTCAAGGTAACTGGTTCGCAGAAGTGAATGGTTAGAGAGGTTATAACGGAAAAGGATGGGTTCGCGATCCACTCACAGAGGAGACGACTAGAGTGCTGGATGGAACGCTTTGAAGGACAGAGTAACGTGCCTTCAGCTACTATTCGGTTGCTCTCTATCCAGTCGTGTCCTGTGGAACCTTTCAGATAGGATCTGCAATACTCACAGAAGTCGAGAAAGTTGTGAGTAATGGCAGCAGGGTCATGTGGACTAGTTCCAGAGGTTTTTAGTAGAGGTCATAAAGGATTTCATTGTTGGGTAGTGTGTGGGACGTCATATATTATGTATAGTGACAGGTCTTAATCACTGACTGTTTCACTTGTCGAAATAGGGTAGAAATCCTGCTGTGATAATTATAGGGGAATCAAGGATATCCAGTTTTCATTCATATTCAACTTTATGATGATCATTGACGAAATACAGAGGCTTTAGAACATCTTAAGTGGCGATTCGAGAATGTTTGGGATGCTCCTTTTTGCCTCTCAACGCAAATTCTTGCTAAGGAACTGTTTTGTTTGGGTGCATCGTCTTACCATCAGGAGTTAAGTGGTTGAATGTACTGACCACTTCGCTTACCCACGAAGTAGGGTCAGCCTTGATCGGTCATTTAACGACTAATTCTCTGCACCAATACAGAAGGCTTCAGTGGTTTGCGCCAAGTTACCTCATTCATGAGGCTCCCATGGTATTGGATTGCCTGTTTGATGGTTGAATGTACTTCGCTGTTGTTTGCATGGTTGTTCTACATGTTTGAGAAACACGGTCATTGAAAGTAGAGGACATGAGAAGTCAGGCATCAAGTATTCGACCACCATTAGTTTTCATAGCATAGGCCGTGTTGCGGTGTCACCACATCAGGAAAATAGAATTCCATCCATCCAGACCAACCTAGGACCAGGCATTACTGCGTAACGGTCCGAGTTGCGACACCTCATATCAGTACACCAAGAAAAAGGTAGTGAGGTGCAAGATGAAGATACATGGAGATACAAAGTACGAAAATAGAGAAACGAAGAATGAGAAAGTGGTGAGAATCGGTATAGTGTCGTTAAGATGAGGATAATGTAAGTATACATCTGGGCCACTGACATCGGTTCCCAGCCACATCACCTAGAGTCTCCAACCACTGGTTCCTCTTGTCACGCGAGCCCCAACCGACAAGTCTGTATTACACCACATGGCTCAAACCAACAGTCAGAGACTTCATGCATTAGTGTCATGTTTTAGTCTGACCACCTCGGGCCTTTTTCCAGCCTGGACCTACTTCAGCCAACATTGTGGGTTGAGGCAATCAATGACTAAGCATATGTAATGCGTGTCCCAACCATCTTAGTCGGTGAAGGTTCATAACCTCTTCAACTGATTTACCTCTACTCCCTAAAACTCTATGCCTGACTTCTGCATTGGTCACCTGATGACACCACGGAATACGGTCTGTACTTCGAAGACAACAGTGGTCAAACACTTGAAGCCTTCTCATGTCTTCCACCTTCAATGGCCATCTTTTACAGCCAAACAAAAGGACAGGGCAGACTGCTGTGCAGTACACGCGACCCTTAATAGACGATGGGATATCACGGTGGCGTAAGTTGGCAAAAGCCAACCGAGCCTTTTGTATCCCTGCAGAGATTTCATCAGCCACTGAGCCAGCCACAAGGGCTGACCCTACTTCCCAGGTAAGTGAACTGGTCGACACACTCAGTCACTACATTCTCTATTGTAAGCCGTGGCACCGTTGAAGACCAGTCCTGTAGCAACAATCTGCATTTGGGTGATGAGAAAGGCATCCCAAACATTCTCAAATTACCACTCAAAGTGTTCAGAAGGCTCTGAATTTTGTCAGCGTCTTCATCTAACAGGGCTATGTCATCTGGATATTCTAGGTCTAACGAAAATTCTCCTGCGATTAAGTCAACTTCTGTTTAACCTGGTGATGAGATGGAGACCTCCATAAGAATATCTATGATAAAATTGAATAAGAATGGAGGGAGTGGGCACCCTTGACGGACACCACTCGATGAGCCTAGCTCACCTGACATCTCTCCATAGGCTCTAACATGCCCACAAGTGTTCGAGTAGAGAGTCTTCAATAAGTTGATGTACTTACTCGGCACGCCTTTCAGTGAGAGACATCGCCATAAGACTTCTGGACCAACGGAGTGGAATGCCGCTTTCAGGTCGAGAAATACAGCTATTGTCGGGTGTCGGTAAGTGTGCCTGTGTCCCGAAACCTGGAGCAGTGTGCATATTTGGTCGATACACCTGCAGCCAAGCCTGAAGCCTGTGTGGTTTCCTCGGGCTTGCTGTTCCCTAGATCAACTCACCACCTAGAATTTTAGATACTATGTTTTTCAGGCTGATTCCTCTGTGGTTATCACGAGAGGACATCTTACCTTTCTTGGAGACTGGAATAATCAGTGATTTAGACCAGTCAGAGGGGATGGTATTTGATTCCCATATACTGGTTAACACTCCGGCTAACCTGACTAAGCGCACCTTACCACCATCTTTGTATACCTCGGGAGTTAATCCATCTGGTCCTGCTGGCCTTCCTCGTTTCAGGTTACTTACCGCTTTTTCGACTTCTCCTAGTGTTGGGGGCGTATCTCAACATTCCATTCAGGATCCGACTGGATAGTGGGCAACGCAATGGTAGCTGCGGGCCAGTTAAATTGTTCCTCGAAGTGTTCTGCCCATCGTTTCAGTCGTCTCCCCTGCGAGTGAATCGCAGACCCCTTCTTCTTTTCTATAGCCTCAACACCTGCTGTTGACCTTTCTCCCTCAGTTTCCTTAATAAGTCTAAATAACTGTTTTCTGTTATCGATTGCCACTGCCTTTTCCATCTCTTTAGCCTTCGCTGCCCACCACTGTTCGTGGTCGTTGCCTAGACCCATTCTCGGTCTACTTTTTCATTGTACTCGGGACCTGCAGTGATACGTTCACGTGCATCCATTAGTTCGGAAGAAGCTGCTGATATCCACTGATTGTTTTTAGCCACTCTTTCGGAGTCGGCTACGGTCTTCAACCCCGTTTTTACAGCAGACTGGAGATGACACCAAGCTTCTTCTGGGTGAGTGATTGTGTTCTGCTCCGATAACCGCATAGTCAACTTCTCACTGAATGTGGCTTTGATGTTTTCGTTGTCGAGCTGCACTCGTAGTGGTTTTGTTGCCAAATTTTTCTTACGTCCATTGACACCCAGGCATTTACGCACTCGGACCAACGCGTGGTCGCTATTCAAACACGTACTCCAGAAGGTGCGGCAGTCTTCCACCATCCTCTCCAGCCATGAGCGATACCAATGTGGTCTATCTGTGTCCATCACTGAGTTGAACTCGGTGGACGCCACATCAGACAGTGTCTTTCTTTGTGTCTGAAATTTGTGCTACCTGAAAATAAGCGGTTATCTGACCAAAGTTGTAGTAGGCGATCACTGTCATCAGTCCGTTCAACCGGGATTCCGAAAGTGCCACCTAAGTGCCTACCTCTCTCAATCAGTCTACCCACCTACCTGTGCATTGAAATCACCCGCAACAACCACCACGTCTGAACGTTTGGCTTTCGAAAGGAGACTAGACGGTTTTCGGTAGAACTCGTCCTTCACTTCATCCGAACTACAATCAGTGGGTGCGTAATCAGAAATTACAAAGAGACAACGGCGAGTCTCACTATTCTTTTTAGTTCTCACTCAGCCGGACAACGCAGAGGTGACTATCAACTGGGATCCAGTCTAGTAGTGAGCTTTCTGTCCTAGTGATTAATGCTATGTCTACATCTGCAAGACCACGACAGCCAGCTATCGAATCTCCAGAAACTCGAAGGGCGAATTTTGAGGATTCATCAGATTGCCCGGGAGAGGTTAGGTGAATAACCGCACTTGGGTCCTGTATACGAGTCTCACAAACACAGCACACATCCATGGTCCGAGCCGCTAGAGTCTTGGCCAATGAAGCCTGTTGACCAATTTGACGGAGGGTGCGAGCATTGAAGGGCACGATATGTAATTTGGAGCGTAGTTTAAGGAGACCAGGGACGCTGTTCTGTGGATTCAGATTGTTGTCGAAGGCTGCAGAGCTAGGAGAAATTCAAGATGATATAGTATCGTTAATTGAGAGACATGAAGGAGGACTAGAAAGTAATGATGAGGGAGGTGAATAGCAGTTTGAAGAAACTTGAGTGCTGACAGAGTTGTGAGGGCGGTTGACACTTCCCGGCTGACACTTCCCACCGTGAAAAGCTATTTCTTCTCAAGGTATCTGAAAGAGATTTTTGTGACCGCAAAGCCCATCGGACATCTGTTTGAGGCCTGTCATACGTAGCCTTTTTTGTATTAATTGGGGTTCTGGGGAGGAAAGGAAAGTCAGTTGTGAACTTTCACCAACTCAGATAGCTGGTGTATGTGTGTTACTTTTGCTTAGTCTCCTTCTGCCTTGTCGGACAATATTAGCTACGTAGGTTCTGGTTGAAAGGAGTTAAGGAGACTAGACTCAAACATCAGATGATTGCATTAAGTTTTTGTCAGTTGGTTTGTGCTGTGTTGGGCAACATAGAGTTCCTGGCCATGGTCCACTTGACATGAGAAAGTGGAGGTTGTAGACTGTAGGCCATATAGCTCAGAATCGATTACAGTAGCGCAGATGCATCCATATTATCTTCATCATAGTCCTAATTTCACAACCGATCACTTTCTCTTCCTTTCCGATAACTTTCTTAAAATTGTGATCTTGGTATTCTTCCCAGGGTAATTCTACTGATGTCCTTCATCTTTAATGACATGCTTTTCAACCGTATGTTGGAATTGAACAAACTACCACCCAGTACACCCGATTTTACGTAGCAATGAAATATCATCTTTCATATGGTTTATTATATGTTAGGAAAGCGCAGTTACGAAAGTCAAATGGCGACATCCGTTTTTGCAATGCCTTTTTATGATTTGATAAGGAATTCAGATCTACACATACTACTTTTTACGTGACCAACTTCGAACTTGACAAATCGTTCACTGGCTCTTGGAAAACTGTTTGAACATTTTTTTAAATATACTTAGAAGCTGTTGAATAAATATTCAACTTCCACACAATGACTCACTAACTTAAGTCTAAATAGCACGCGGACATTTCCCTTCCCAACATAATTGAAATGAATATGCTTCTGACTTAAATGAATTGAAAGAAGACTAGATACTTTTTGCCACGATAATCAGAACTAGTCTTATTCTGCTTACTAAGAAAGATCAGAATATCGCCTCTAAATAGCCACAGGAGAATCAAAACAAAAAACCTTGATTAATAATTCATTGCACAAACCTGTCAGTGAGATCTCCACTGCTCAGTTATTTCTAGAAGACAGATTCACTTAGCATAACACCATTGAGTCAGAACCGATAGGTTTCCAACTATGAATGAAGTTATGAACCACTTGTTGTATACATTCACTGAAGACTATTTAAGGCTGTATTGTCTACATACACAAATATATATACATTTGTATGCAACCTTTTGACGTTTTTAGTCTTAAGTACATATACCAGTGGGGCTAATAATTGTGCAGTTTTTATGTATGATAGATAAGTTTCATCCCGGCCGCTTAACAACTGGAAGCCATAAAGCTATGTTATACTTTGAGTTTAGTGAGTATCTTATTTTTAAGGTGGTATTCATCATGGACTGACTTCAGTTAGATAACCATTGAAAACCTCGGAGCAGTAAACAGTTGTTTCGTCCTAGTATGGGACTCCATAGCAACACGAACCCGCCAAAGATAGAACTTAGGACCTTCACGTTTAATGGTAAACCCGTTAGCCATTCAACCACTGAGTCAGTAGTCAATGTTTCACAGTTTCCTACTTTTTTCACTTCAGGATACTGCGCGACTATACACCAAGGTGTTCAGGTGACATCCGTTTCACTTTCGACTGGTCATGAAAAAATATACTCACACCAGAAACTACGCTACACAATACTTCTTTTTGTTCATAGGTGAAGTTTTAGGTATTTTTCATTTTATAAAACTAAAACAGCGTGTTGACAATTGTTAGGCCTTTGATGTATAACTCTAGGTTTCAGAATAATGAGTTGAAGAAGAATATTTTCACTATCATAGATAACTGACGAAGATGCACATGCCTTTGTTTTCCTAGAACTACAACTCGTCAAGCTTCTCTACAGATCGACTTTAAATAAAGAAATGACCAATTATCTAGCTATTACTACCAGCCTCAAGAAAGCATTTCAATAGATCAAGTTAACTGATACCATTTTGTTTCTGTTTGTGTATAGTATTGCATTTTTGTTGATTTTCACTGATTTTTCTTTTCAATACCCAAGGAGCTTCTAACCAATCTACCAATGCATACTCTCCATCTCAAAGTAACAAACGTGGGAACAATACCAATCGTGCTGATTCTAAACCGATAGATTCCAGATCGATTGTAGAACCCAAACTAATTGATTTGATCACAAACCAACCTACATCGTCGAAATATCGTGAAAAAGGCCATCCGAATCACTTCAACTCAGTAGAATCAGATGGTAGTAATGGTAACAATAGCAACACCAATGAATTGAGTAACAATAATTCTATGTCATCTGTGGAAATGAAAAAGTCTTCTTTTTTTATGAATAGCAACAATGGGGACCGTTTTCCCAGTGTTCTATGCCGTCATCCTCGGTGACAGTAGGGAAGTTTATTGATTCGACTGACTCACTAAATTTAAGCAATGCATCATCCAGATACCAAGTAATGGATTATACCAGTAATAGCAATCCTACTATCAGTAGTAGTAGCATTGGCAGTATACCACATTCAAATATCCTTTCTGCTCAGCAGCAGAATAGTTTACAGCTGTCATCATTCAATTCTCTAGAAACACATTTTGGTAATAGTATGCCAAACAACAAAGTTCATCATATATTCCATATTCCCATCACCATCCCTACCAGTCGACACTACAACAGCCCCAACCTTCAACACAAAACTGGAATTCCCAGCATACAGGTTTTAATCAGTTATCCTTTGTACCCTCAAGCGTCCCGAACAGTCATAGTTCTTTTCCTCGACCACCACAACAACAGCAATCCTCAACAATAATCAGTCGTATTGGTCCACAACAACGACGTTATGAAAGACAACATTGTGCTGACCGATTGGGTTTAGTACGATCACCTGTTAACCCATCCACGTCCACATCTTCGATGTTATTACCGTCATCATCGTCCACATGTGATTATTGTCTGGGGGATGACACGCTGAATCCACGTATAGGTCATCCAGAAGGCATGTTACAGTGTTCCCGGTGTGGGCATAGCGCTCATTATACATGTCTACGCTTACCTCCACATATAATTGATGCTGCGATGCGCTATCCATGGCAGTGCATTGAATGCAAAACATGTTGGTTATGTGATCAAGATGACCATGAGGTATGTCAAGAGTAGTAGTGTTTCCCTCCATGTTTGCATTGTTTTCTCTTGTCCACTTGATTGTAGACGCATGAACTCTTCGGACTCATTACAGTTGATATTTAACTATTCAGGCAGTTGTCATTTCATTTGACCAGTTTTGTATGCTCAAAACTGATAGCTTCCATATTATCAGCTTAGACTACTTTGAGCGATTCTTATGTCTGCTACACCTAGCATTTCCGTCGACTATATATGTTTTCGGTAATAAAAACGAGGTTAATACACTTTTTCCCAGGACCTTTGTTAACACTCTCAATTGCTTTGATAATAGAATATCTGTGCACAATACTACTTTCGAAGCTGCCATTATATGTACTCCTGGGTGCGGTTCACTGTCAGGCAATAGATTCCCAGTTCGAATCTTGCTGCGCCCACTTCAGTCTCAACAACCTAGGTAGTTTCATAAGCCCCTTACACAATAAGTGTGGCTCATAAAACAGTACACCAGCCTGCACGGGGTTGAATATTGGTATCTATTATTATTTAGTGCAACAGGTTGATGTAATTGAAGTGTATCGTAATTTTTTTGTCGATATCGCTTACAAACATGTCTGATTTCGAGATCAGTTTTACGCATGCTTATAACTCCGCTTATACACAACTAAGTAACCATGCGTTTATATTCTTACCTTCGTTCGAGTGAAGGCAAGACTGATCCTCACCGTTCTTATGATGACCATTAATGCCATTACCAAGATGTGAAAATCTGCTTATATATATCTGCCTGGGAATTTCGGACAGTTCAAAAATTTGAAGTTTATTGGGTCCCCAAAAAACAAAAACGTGTGATAATGAATAAGGAATCAAACGAAAGAGTATAGCCATGTACTAGGAAAATAGTCTCTTGATCTTATGATCTTTTAAAACCAAAATATAGATAGATTTATATACTTGTGTGCATTTTATATTCCTACTGTCCATCAGTTAAATCGCTAGGAATTATTATCGTTAGTAGTAACCAATAGCCTTGGATATAAACGTAAAGTGCACTTGTCATTACCAGCTATCGAATAATTATGTTCTTTTGAATAATCTTGGTAGTCCTACCAGATGATGACGTTATGTTGAAGTCTGTTCGAACTTTCTTCAAATAGGGTGGTGTTAATTTTTTTAACTAAGTAGTCCTAATTCGATGAAGAAGTTCAAATTATCCAGTGGAATTTCATATCGAATTTATTTCACATAGTACACAGTGATACAATATTATCTACTGGATGACGTTTCGAGCAGAACTTATTGCTCATATCCACTTATAGACTGATAAATGAACAATCTGATGTGGAATTATTCTCTTAGTTATGCTGTGTCCTTTGAGCTGGGTGGTTTAATCGTGAAGGTTTCGTTGTATTTCTGGACAATATCACCAACTTCAGTATGAATTATACTTTACCACAGTTCCGAAGCTTTACTCATATTCAGTGTAATGTTAAATTCTATGTTTGTTTGACTTTACTAACTTTCTTAACTCCCTTATCCCCCTTCAATTAGGATCGTATGATATTTTGTTGGGATTGTGATCGTGTATTCCATGCACACTGTCTCCAGTCTAGATTACCTCGTAACCCCGACACCCATTGGACCTGTGATATATGCCTACATGAAATGTACAACGTAAGTAACTCATCCATTGAACAACGTGCTCACTCTAACTCTGGATATGAAGCTTATTCAAGTAACAATAGTAGTAGTCATAATAACAACAGTAGTTTGAATCAAGTCAACAATGCAGATGGATACTATACTAATGTACAGCATTATGCCCATAATATCCCTCGTTTATGAACTTTTCTCTTCCTTTTTTTATTTATAATGTACACTTGCTCATTTGTTTGTTATTGCTACTAGTATTATTATTACTATTGTCTTTGTTGTAGTTGTATAATTATCCGATAGGATGAGGATTATTTAGAAATCTTCACAAACGCATGCATACAGTCCTAACTTCCTTTCTTCTTTCGGTAATAAGGCAAAAGTAGAATTATGTACTGTACTCTTACTATTATCACTATCACAAGTATTAATATAATATCAATTAAGTCAATAGTTGTAATAATTATATGCGGTTACAATTGAGCAAGATGTTTTCGGTATAGTTATGTATGCCCAAGTATCAGTCAGTGAGTTGGTCTATTAAACTGTAAGTGTGCATTTTTTTTATTGTTTTCCTTTCACACTAACATCAGTACACATGAGAATGAACCTATGTGTTAGCCTTTTGCTATACATTACTAGTTCGTGTTGCTTTCAGTAAAACAGCTCATAATACAAAATATGATCATCAAAATACTATTATGATGGTTTTTTCTTCGCTACTTGATGAACACAGCAAATAATCAGTTTTGTGATGATTACGTCATTCTGTATCCTCATTATTGTATTTTGCAATCTTTCTTTGGACCAAACTACTTTTAACGGTTTGAATAAGTGGAATATACCATTACTGCTATGATTACTCTTAATATCACTTGAGTTTCAAATATGTTGTCGATGCCCGTACACATCTTGATGCAATCAATATTTTAGTGGTAGATAAGATGCAGAAGTGAGTGTTAGGGAGATTGTACAAATGAATGCAATAGTTACAGGTGCCACATTTAGGCGTGAGCCAAATCGATTTTGGGTACACTTGCTTCGTTTATAAATTTGTTCACATACTGTATTCTTTCTGTTCTACGTTGTTGTCGTCGTTGTTATTGTTCAATATTCTGTTCTGCTTATACCTTCTGTTTCTATATATTCAGTTCCTCTATTTTTTTCACTAATTGTTAGTCCCTTGTTTAAAAAGTTTTGTTATGTTACTCTTACTTTCTTTTGCCTGTTGTTCCCCAAATCCTATGAGCCAACCATCTTTTCTCAATGCTTATGCGTATCATTGTGAAGAAAATAAGTAGTCCAAAGACAAAAAGACTACTGCTAAGATTTGATTGTGTTCTCGTTCCATTTGTATGAAAGAATGACTTATAAGTAACGAAGATGATTTATAATACATAAATATGCGCATCTGCATAAACACATCTGTCTATTACACATAGATAATATTCATAACTATCAACGAAACAAATATCCCAGTTTCCTTACTATAATAATTATTGTTACTATTACCACTACTAATGCCATTACTAATACTGTTTCCTTTCTTTTGTGTTTAATGCGAATGAAGAGGTGAATATTAAGTTTTTTGTCTTTTTCTTTGTTTACTTGTGTCTTTTCAAATTTACCTTGATTAAAAATAGAAACAAATTGTTTGTCTCTTTTGCCTTTTTTTAAAAAATTTTCGTAGTGCAACGGGATTGTTCGTTGATCAGTTGCATTTTGTTATTACGTGAAGCGTCATTTCTTACTGATGCTGCTATTCAACAGAATTGAGAAAGTGCGAACACGTGTTTCTAGTTTATTAGCTGGAAGTGCTAACTGAAGTGAACAGATAAGTCTGCCATTTGTTTCCCAATTGATTAGCAACGTCAGACTGCCTTTTCTGCAACTGGTTCACTAAATATGTTCGATATGAACTAGTTAAATGATTATTACTTATTTTATTATTAGTCCCTTGGGTTCCTAGTGGAACATAGGGCTTCAGTAGCACGCCTCCAGTGACCTCTGTTCTCTGAGATCTTTTGAACCTGGTCCCACGACAGCCCAGAAGCTCTCATTTCCTCCTCACACGCTCTCCTCCATGTCACCCTTGGACGTCCAACTCGTCGCTTCCCATGGGGATTCCACTCGAGGGCCTGACGCGTGAAGTCCTCAGTCGGCCTTCTCAGTGCATGGCCAATCCATCTCCACAGTTAAATGATTAGCTGAGGTTAATTATCTCCATAATTTGGGGTTCTGTAATTAGTTGAGTTCATTCCGTTGATCCCAGTCTCGTCAGCACACATATTTCTAAGCATTAATTTTATTGTATTGGCAGCAGATGTATGTTCTACTTTAGTGCTTATTTACACAACCCAAACCTAATGAAAATATTTGAGGACTCGGTTTGGTAGACAACTTGATAGCATACTTCAAAGTATAAAGTCCAACTAAGACAAAACCGAACTATGGGGTTTGTGGGGATTTAGAGGTTTTCTTCAAGTTGGTATTCATCATCGTCCTAGTATGGGACTCTTCAGCAGTGCGCACCCACGACCTCGCCAAAGATCGAACCCACCACCTTCAGGATCCGTGGCCACTGGGTCAGGATCCAATGGTCCACATCTCCAACTTCTTTCAGTTCACGACATAGCGCGACCGCCACCCAATGTCGTCGTTGAGCATTTGTTTAATGTCCACCAGGTTTGCCCCACTGGTCACGACTTCTCATTGGGACATTGGCGGTAACCTCAATGACAACACTCATTGGTGACTAGCTGCGAGAGGTGATTCCCGACATTCTAATGAGAAGTCGTGACCAGTGGGGCAAATCTGGTGGACATAGGGACAAATGCTCAACGACGACAATGGGTGGCGATCGCGTTATATCATGAACTGACAGAAGTTGGAAATATGGACCATTGGATTGGACCCAGTGGCCACGGATCCTGAAACTGGTGGGTTCGATCTTTGGCGAGGTCGTGGGTGCGCACTGTTGAAGAGCCCCATACTAGGACAAAACAGCTCTCCAGTGCTCCCAGGTTTCCATTGTTCTTCCAACTGATGTCAGTCCATGATGAATACCAACTTGAAAATAAGACAAAATTAAGTGACCAATGAAAACGTAATACTCTGGAAAAAGTATCCACTACACTTGACGAAAAACCTGTTCGTAGTACGTAATCATGTTCAAAGTAACAAGTGTCAATTGCTGACATGGTAAACTGTTGCCGTTTCCATAAAATCGCTTTAGACTCTTACGCACTTCTGCCTTGTTCAATTTTGTCATATCGTATCGACTGCCAACTGGAATGCTTGGAGTAAGCCACACTTAGATCACCTACGTCTTTTATCAAAAGCAGCCGTTAATATGGAGTAAATTCTTACCGTTCATAGATAAAACGCCTTAAACGTACATTCTGTTAACTTCCCTGCCTTGGTGTAGAGTAACACAGGAAAAAAGTAAGTCAGTCGATGGCGATGTAAAACTTCACTGACTGAGGAGCCCGAACATGTGCTAAGTATGCTGACTACCTGCACCTACGAAGCTCCGGGAATCTGGAGCAGGTTGCAATAAGGCTCATCGTTGCCAGACTAAGACATGGCACTGGAGCATAAATCCCATGACTATTCCTCAGAGCTACGTATGGAGTTGTAGACCACCTAGTTGGGGATCCTCACCTATGTAAGCATCGCTTATTGTATCCCCTTGCGAAAGGATGCGATATATGTCACAACAGCACAGATATATTCACCAACCACTTTATCCTAAGTTTGAATCATTTCACGAAACTTAATTTTGAAATGCCCTCACGCATCATTCTTTTCATATCGGTTATTATCGCCTAGTTACTAGCCGGTCCTAAGCCCGAAAAAAGAGGTTGGACATAGGGCTAGCAATCCTACCCAGTAAAACCAATCCAATCGTTTAAAAAACTTCGAAGCACAAAAAAATATAGAAAATAAACTTATTCCTAGATGGAACCGGTGAGAAGAAATGACGCCGGTAAGCCTTCGAAAAGCCAACTAACCGATGTGTCTTCTCTCGATGATAGACCCCGAATAAAGTTCAACATCCGGAATAGAAACGGAAGGACGAAACCACAAGGGACATCTTCACGTCAGTCAGTCATCAGGACAAAATGGGAAACATTCAGCAACATCTCTGAAGGAACCTGTGTGGATGAACACTGGAAGTATTTGAAAGCCATGTGGAAAGAAACCTGCACAACCATATTAGGAAGGAAGAAGAAACAAAACAATGAATGGAATGATCTCGACGGACACATGGAAGCTGATGGAACAGGGAGAGGAAGATGGTTAAGCAGAAGATGAACCAGTGCAGTACAGTACAGTGCATGGATGAACAACCAAAAGAGGAACTGAATACAACTTAAAAAACACTACACTGGACAAAGCAGTGGAGAAGAGTGCGCACAAACACAAAAAACACCTCTACCTCACATTGGCAAGTGAAGCAGAACAGGCTGCCGGCTGGTAGGAGAGACCTGACAACACCATATCAAATAACCAGGTTACTACTTACCGTCTAGGAGGAGATCAACACAGATGAAACCAAAGAAGGATAGCGAAGGAAACTAGTTACCAAAGAGGAGAAACAAAGGAAACAAGGGACTGACCACTTCAAAAAACTCTTGAATCGACCACCACCACCATCGCCACCTGCAACTCGTCCAGAAATACCACCAGCAACGGCAGAACTAACACAGTGAACACAGGACCTCCGACAAAAGCAGAAGTCCTGAATGCCATAAAACTGCTGAAATCCGGGAAAGCAACAGGACCAGATGGAATTCCTCCAGAACCACTGAAAACAGACGCACAGACATTAGCAGACGACATGCTCACACCACTACTGCAGAAGGCTTGAAAAGAAGAAAGGAAAGCTTCCTGCCTACCGATTGGAAGAAGGTGTACCTTGTCCAAATCCAAAAGAGGGGAGACATAAGTCTTTGCAAGAACTGGCGAGGAATCATGCTGCTGTCCACCCCAAGTCAGCAAAATATTATGCCGCATCCTCCTGAAGAGACTAAAGGATGCACTGGATTCAAAATTACGACCGGAACATGCTAGCTGCATTCAGGAAGTACAAATCATGTGTGGACCAAATTGCAACACTACTTTACACATCATCATAGAACAGAGTAGAGAATGGCAGTCAAGTCAACTCTCTACCTCAACTTCATCGACTTTGAGAAGGCCTCCGACAGCGTCGACCGAGAAGTAATTTGGCAGGCAGCTAGCTACTTCAACACTACGGTTCTAGTGCCACAAATCTTTATCAACCTCATTCAACAGCGATATGACGATGTCACATGCCAAGTGATCCACAATGGAAAGCTCAGTGACGCCTTTGAAGTGAAGTGAAGTGAAGACAGGAGTAAGACAAGGCTGCCACCTACTATCACCCATGATCTTCCTGATTGTGGTCGACTGGACTGATCATGCACTGGACGACTGCGAGGAGCGAGAACATGGGCATACACTGGCTGTACCGATGAAAAGACCCCAGAAGAAGATTTGGATTTCGCTGCCGATGATGGTTTATGTCTGATGACTAATGTCGCACAAACTCGAAGATCTACAGGCGAAAACTAACAAGTTGATAGAAGAGGCGAGGCGAGGCCAGGCAGCGAAGACGGGACTTCAAGTGACTGTAGAGAAGACAGAGGTGACGAAGATACCCAACCAACAACAGCATCAACAACAATCACCACCAACGGGAGAAATCTAAACGAAGTAGTCTCTTTCACCTACCTACCTACCTACCTACCTAGGCAGCATCGTCTCAACTACAGGCGGCGGCACAGACACAGATGAGGACGTCTTAGCCAGGATCGGAAAGACAGCAATACAGGCTTTCATTAATCTGAAATCAGTGGGGAGATCTACTCCACTGGACTTCGCTCAGCATAAAGAACAAGATCCGGATTTTCTTCACCAATGTCAAGTAAGTCAGTGCTTCTATGTGATGGTTCAGAAACTTGGCCGTTCACGAAAAGTATTTTCAACAAACTATAGACATACATCAATAATAGCTGCGGCCTACACTCACTCGATACTGAAGATCAGATCATATGGCCAGAATAATAAGAATAAGCAACAAGGAACTCTGGTTGGTAATGAACCAACCAAGAACCTATCACCCAACAAATATGCAGTAGAAGAAAGTGGAGATGGATTGGGCAACACTGAGAAGACCATTCGGGGAGATCACGCGTCAGGCCCTCGAGTGGAACCCAAAGGGGAAACGACGAGTTGGGTTTCCCAGCTGAGGGTGACATGGAGGAGATCGTGTGAGGAAGAAATGAAAGCTTGTGAGGAATCGTGGAGTCAGGTTCAAAAGACTGGAGAGAACAGAGTCCAATGGAGACGTGCTACTGAAGCCCTGTGTTCCACTAGGAACCCAAGGGTAAAAGCTATTATTATCTATCACCTACTACTCTACATAATATATGCTGAGTAAAATAAAACGAACCACCTAATGGTCGACTTTTAACTTTCACATTATCCCGCCGTCTAGAATTTTTAAATTGAAATCAACAAGCTGTTTTACCGAAACAGAAAAATCCGAATTCTGGCTCAAGGCAAATTATTCACAACTACTCCAGTTTTTGCGAAAATGATTTGCGTTTCGTCAACCATCGAAAGTGCATATCTGAACGGACAAAAGTAAGCAAGTAGTTTGTATCTAGTGACATAGTCAGACAAATCGAAGTGTAAACCATTTTGTAGGCACACTTCATAGCCCTAACTCCACTCCATGTTTCAGTCAGGTCATCTATGAGAAACACCTGCCTACTGTGAAGAGATTACAGTGTCGAGATTAGGCGAAGGCTACTCGGCAAGTCAGTCGACCAGGTTGTGAACCTTCATCAGATGAAGTGGCTTGGACATGTATTGTACATCCCGAGCCACCATCTTCCTCAAAGTCCACTGTTAGTCAAAATGGAATTAGGTTGGAAAAGAAGCTCCGGGTGGCGAAAGCAAGACATCGCGCCAGTCCATGAAGTTTCTCAATGTCGGCCTGGAAAGTATGCGGTGTTGACTGTCTTGGTTGGGGTTCCAAGACGACGCGAATAAGGGGATGACGACTCTGTGAGATGCCTGAAAACCGATCACAATGGCGCAGATGTATTCACTGTTTGACGTCTTCTAAACCTTGAATATTCCCACTAACCTTTATCTTCAACCTGTCTATTCTCTCATACAACTGTTTACGATTTCATATCACCTTTTCTGTCCACTTGTTCTTCACACTCCTCCTGCGAAGTATCGCAACTCCAACTGATGCAATTGTGCGCGAGGTTCTGCGTTGATTTTCGCTAGGAGAGCTTCTGGTTATTCATACTTGGTATATGGATTTTTCTTTATGTAGGGTGGCAAATCTTTACTATTACCTGGGTGGTTTATGTGTGTGGGAGTTTGTTCTTCTTCCTCATGTCAGCCACTTTTAGGAAGAAGGCTGATGTCAGCATTATGTTCTGTTTAGACGACGGTGAATTATTCACTATCGTGTCTAGATACCTGGGCGGAGAAGGTCGAAAGGTAGTCTAGTTGGTCTGTTGCTCTATCAATATAGACTTTAGCGTGCTGTACTACTCGTTTAGTTAACACCGTAATTCTAATTAAGGCCGATGTCCGTGACCAAACCGCGTTAACTAGTGTACCGTAAGACATCCAAACCACTAGATGCATTTCTCTATTTTAGGACTGCTTTACTTTTGCGTACCGTTGAATGAAGATACTGACAAAGATAAACCAGACATTATCTACAAAAATAAACTGCGGAAAACACTTAATCGAAAAGAGTGGTCGACCTGTTCGCATATGTCTACATCAACATCAAATAGCAGTAAAGCGTTATGACATATCTTCGCTCATATCCACAGGCAACTTTGGACATTAATTCGAATGTGAGAATCATGGATAGAAGAAATGCGACAGAATTTTTAGGAGCTTGGCATTCAGATCAGTCAGCAATCAACAGACATTGACCTAATCTATTAAACAACAAGAAGGTCCATTTTCATGCCATCAGAACAATCATGCACAAGGGCATCGGGACAAGCTGCTAAATAAATTGCGGAGAAAACGCAATCGCTCACTTTTTCTTGAAGTTAGGCTAATGGTGCTGTCTAGAATGATAACGAAAGCTCCATGATCAAACAGTTCAGCTCAGAGAATACATCATCAAAACTACAGGGTAAACCCGACACCCAATCATTGAAAATCGAGTGTCCACATAAATCAGCTGCAAAACCGCTTCCGGTTCACTAATCATTACATTATAATTGCTTCCAATCTCAAAAAAAATAGGTATAAATCTCTAGGTTTATTTCATTTTTTTAACATGCCTAGAAGCTCAGATAAACTATACAGTTATTCCAGGTACCTTTGCGAATCATTTCTAGATCTTTTCTGCTTTGAGTTCGTATCTTAGACGGACTTCTAGGTAAATCACCTCATAAATATTCCCTGCTAATAGAATCTAATGAATATATTTTAGCAACACGACATTACAACCAACAGTGCGTGTTACTGAAATAGTGTACCAAAATTAAGTTTGATAAAAGGTAAAAATTAATAAGCGGTTATGAAAAGAAAGTTTTATCCAACACTTTTCATACTCATACACGCTAAGCGTAGCAAAAAGATAAAGTAAGCTGCTATTTACAACTTCACAGATGAAAAAATGACTTAGATCACATATACTCTCTCAACGGATTCCAACACTCATTAGCAAAATCTTCCTCCTCATCGTCATCATCATCGTCACCTTCTTCGCCTGAATCTTCACCAGCTGATAAGTCGGAAACGTGAATTTCTGTGTCCTCTCCTTCATCATCTTCATCATCTGCACTTGAAGAATGATTCGTCTCCTCAACCTCTGGACAGTCATCTGCGCCGAACAGACAACGGGTTAGGTTCCCATGCCCTCGTTTTTTATAAGCCACATTTCCATCATATTTACACGATTCATATCTGTCGCGTCTAGAGTCGTAAAGTATTTCTCGGGTACGTTCTGCATCAGCATAATCATAACCTTCAGGACAAGTGTTCCATTCCTTCGCCTCAGCATCGTCACCATCTTGCAACCACCAGCCGTGATTTGGTTCCGGATCTGAGTGGATAGCCGGAGATGCACAAAAATGATTAGAGGATCTATTCTGACGACGCTGGTGACTAGGTGATCCAGGAATCCAACGTTTTTGTGCTTGAAAGTTATGCTTCGCAACGTCGCGTACTTGTTCATTAGGACCCCAACCCTACAGAAGGCACAAAAATATTTGGGACATGAAATTCGAAAAAATGTTAACAGTTATCAAGCACGGTATCAGTATTTCCGGAAAATAATATTGGATCCTAACTGGAAAAATAACTCGCTCAGTAACTAAAACAACTCATATACGATTGAGTGCAACGTTCTCACTCAAAACAAAACAAATCAGAAATGTACATTTAATAGATGCCAGGCACACACCGTTCAAACATACTCAAGCTATTCAAAAGGCTTTACACTTTATCAGCATGTTAACCTAGCAGGACAATGTCGTCTGCGAACTCCAGGACATAAGAAAATTCTTAAGCAAATGCATACACTTACGATTACATAAGACTAACCGATGCCCACTCGTAAAATCCGCCTACATATTCACCGACTCCTATTCGGATGATTCAAAGGATAAATTCTATGAAAAGCTGTCTACTTCGCTACGAAAATCGAAACTTCCAGATGTAGTTGTAATGGCAGGTGACTGAGGTTAACGCTTAAGTAGGGAAGCTGTACCAATGGAAAAGACATCCTGGAAGTATTTACGGAATCCCATGCCAAGGAACCGACAACGGTGATTGTCTGTTGCAATTTTTCTCCGACAATCAGTTGTTTCTAACCAGCATTAATTTTAGGCATTAGGTGAGATACTGTATCACATGACTCCCACCCAACTTCAACCCAACGATAGACACGGGTAGATCACATTACTATAAGCCAGCCATCATTGGATAGGATCAGTTAAAGATTGCCACTTTTTCTGAAGTACCAGTTTAAGCTCTGATCACGGGCTAGTACGGGCCGGTATATGCCTGCGCCTTACTGGTTGGAAAAAAACAGGTGGCAGTTAAGCCTGTGCGTGTCCTATTGAAAGATGAGTATATGAAGTTCATGGTTAGAGAGGAGTCAGCTAAGCATTCATACGAACGTTACAGCAATACTTATCCTGAGGAAACCGGGCGTGGCGTGATCTTAAGTCTGCTACAGTAGCAACAGTAAAGACAACTGGTAACCTCGACCCAAAGGCTAGTAAACGTCATTATATTTCCACAACGTCACCCAAACTGATTTGATGCGAGAAGGTAGATTCCAGTGGCGTCTGACTATGATGAAGAGTAAAAGCGACGCAAACATAAACTGACCATGAGTCTTTCCGTCGATCGCAAGCATTGGTAGGTAGCGAGAGCGAAAGAGAAGGCATCAGGGTTGAGTAGCATCTGGGAAATAATTAGGTTTATTAAGCATACCGGAAAGAACAAGACGATGGTTAGTGAAACCATCACCGAAAAGGATGAGGCGCTGATAACCTCCCAGGACAAGCAGCTAGAACGTTGGGCAGAAGTATAGTTCAACTGGCCCTCAACAACGCTTCAGCCGCCTAGCATCCAGCCTGAACTGGAATGGCACGCAGATGTCGGTCCTGCAACCATCTTTGAAGTAGAGAGGGATGCATCGAATCCAATAATGCTAATCAAAATTATCTACTCAAACCCAAGCAGCCGTGTCAGGGCTTATGAAGGGTTGTCATGCGAATTAATATCAACTGGCAGTGTTCACCAGGGATGCCTATTGTCACGGTTCCTATTGGACTTCATCATAGACGTACTAATGGACGTAACATTAGGTACGTCTAACTTCATAGGGATTGATCTACTCACTGGAGAGCCTCTGGTTGCTGACAAAATGCAGCGTCTTGTGTATGCATTTAGCGGAATTCTGAGTATATTTGACTGGCATGCGTTTCGCACATGTGATATGTAAGATGACGCTCCAGAACTGAAACTACTCCTAGTTTGACTGTAGGGAGTAAAGTAGTGGAGTGTGTCAACCACTTCACTTGCTTCAAGAGTCGCATCAACCTAAACAGGCTGGCTGCTGACGAAATCTAAGCTCGGACAGAGAAGGCCCGTTTGGCATTTGCCGAATGGCGAGATATCCCACTGCTTACTAAAGGACGAGTTTACTACGCTGTAGTCCGTTCTGTCCTTTTATACGGTTGTGAAACACAGTTGTTAAAAGTAGAAAATTTGAAGCGGCTATAGGATTTCGATCATCGATACCTTCGTAGAATCGCTGTCGTTTGATGGAATCACAGTGTGAGTAATGTTGAGGTCAGGCGAAGGGTACTAGGCAAGACAGGCAAGTTGATTAGTAGGGTTGTGAACGTCAGTCGGCTGAGATGGCTTGGATATGTGTTGCACATGTCGAGTCACCGCCTATCTCGATGTGTCATGATAGGGGAAGTTGGATTAGGTTGGAAGAGGAATTAGGGTGGCCAGACCAAGGCCTGTCACCAGTAGATGAGGTCTCGAACTTGGTCTGAGTCGTGTGGGGAGATGTAGACTGCCTAGTTGAGGTCCACGAGACTGAAGGAATAAGCAGTTGAGGACTCTTGGTGGCAATGCTGACAATCGGTCACAATGCTGCAGATGTCTTTACTCTTTGAAATCTTCTAGAGCTTGAATATTCGCATTAACCTTTGTCTTCAGTTTTCTTTATTCTCTTACACTACTTCGTCTACTTTGATATCACTTTTTCTATCCACCTGTTCTTTGTTTACGATTGTAAGGCGTGGCGACTTGAGCCGATGAACCTTTGTGCGAGGTTCTACGTTGATTTTTTCAGTCAGTCAGTCGGTAAGATTACAATTAATTAGGAGGCATACATATGTAGTTTCATACCGTCGTTTGTGACTGAATTAAATAAACATGGAAGTTTTACAACTGACATAAAATATTTTCCATCACTTGGAATTTAACACCTATTTCACTACTTACACTACCCATCCACATACATTAAGTTGAACTTTATTTTTGTGAACTAGGAACAAAGAAATGATGAATACAAATCGACAGAGAAAATTAAAAATATTTAGCCAAGATAATATTTGTTAGTCAACAGCGCGTCAATTATTGAAAGTCGGGTAAAGTTAGTTGATAGGTTAGTGGAACACTGATAACTCGTAAGTGTACCAGAAAAATAGAAATATAATCTTTAATAAACTTGTGGACTCCGGTTAGACAACTGTGCATAAATTTACAGTAAGCATATTTATCTTTAAGCAGTCAGATAATCTCATTCATAACTAGGTTCGTATTCTAAACATTATTCTGTATTAAGAATAGTAAATATGAATTGTTGTTTTTCTTTTGTCTTACCTTTGGGTAATCTGCATCATAGGAGTCACAATCGCTATCCGATTCCATAAAAGAGTCATTGTCTGCTGGATTAATTTGTTTGAGTGATTCAAACACTAAATCATCGCAAGAACGTCGACGTCGATCTTCTCTACGAAAACGTTGATCTAGACGACGTATTTTACGGTCGATTTTTACAGTTTCTGCTGGTGATGCACGATGACGTCTGCGTACTAGTAGTTCCCGCTGTACCTATAAAATAAATGGGGTTTTTTTTAAAAAAGCAACACGACAATATAAAATATACCATGTACCAATTCAGCAGTTGTCCAGATAAGCAGATTACCATAAAATCAAACATAATTTTATATTCAACAGGGTTCTAGGAGTTCACTGCACTATAGTGAATTAAATGTGAAAACCAATGGAGCCTCAGTCTACTGGGTTAAGTACTCAACTTTCGAACAATGCACTAAAACTTTAAACTCCTCTCGAGTTACTGAGTTTGGGGCAATCACACAGATAAGGTGTGATCGACTGTACATGGTTGATAGGTTGCATTCATACAAAGCAACATATTAGTGATATGCAGATGACCTATTCAGCTATAGGATCAACCACAGAAGTGGAGCTGTAGCTGACTGACTTGGGGAAACGACTTTCAACCAATGGGCCACGGGTTCGAGCCCAGACTTGTGGGCATGCAGATAGTATTATTAGCTCTCGCACAATAGGTGTTACTCATTGCTTACTACATGAACTTGTGTGTGTGGCTACTAAGTACATTTCGATTTTTGGAAACAAATAACCACTGTGTATATGGATAGATAGGTGAACCGTTTCAGTTATCTTAAGTTGACCAGCTAAATTAAATTGACTTGTAATATTGAGAATTGTTGTTGGTATGATTTCTACAGTTTCTTCATGATACTTAGTATTCAAAAAAACTACAAGCTGTGTTTGATTCAGTTTTTGACAATGCAACCTCATCATTATCACAACCGAATACTCGAAAAACTGCTAATTCATGCCAAATGTGCAGATGTATGGTAAGATTGGTATATATTGCAAATCTTTGAAACGTAATACATACTAAAAGGTTGCCGATTTAATGAGTAGAAATAGGAAAGATTGAGGAGCTACTACGACTGCCTTGTATTAAATTTGCAAAGGGATGGAATTCCATTCTTACTTCAAGGAACGAGAATGGTGCACTAAATTAAATACGAATTTGAGTTTTGGACAAATTTACGTGAATAAATTTAATGGGATAAAAAGGTTTACTAGCTGGACTGTTTAGACATTTATCTGAAATTTTCAGACACCGACTATGTTTTTCTTGTGAACTTTAATTATAAAGTCTGAATGGCTTAGATTAACAGCTAATAAATCCATGGATCAATGATATTGTTTCATTTGATCACCCTTAGTATTTTAACAACTTACTTAAACTCCAACTCACCTGATACATCAGTATTGATATGGACTTCGCAGTCTTTCTATTTCAACCGATGCAGATCCATAGCCTTATCAATTAGCTTACCTATAGGGCGTAGAAATTTTTGTCCAGCCACAACACCACTCTAACATTGGTTTTACAAAGCAAACGCTTAACTATCCGATTCCAGAACTCTAGGATAATTAGGTTAAGAAATAGTGGAATCCATACCCAACTCAGGCTCTAACTTTGCTACCTGTTGCTAACTTAGGTACTCAGCGCGTGGGACAATGTGAGGTCAAGCACAGTGATGATATAGAATAGCTTAGTCCTAGACTAGAGATTAAAATATGTGATGAATTCTCTAAAGATATCAAAACTATTTCGGTTGTGTTGCCTTCTCTGAGCTGATTTGTTGAATAGTTAAGTTTTGATTGTCTTTCCAGATAACATGATAAGCACTAACTTCAAAGTGAAGTACTAAAGATTTCGTCTAGAAAGACAATGAAACCTGCATGATCAAACCAACCAGCTCAGAGAATGCAATAAAATCAAGGTGATCCATATGAGCTACACTGAAATTATTTCGGTGCACATATACAACTAGATGATTTAATAATAATAAAAGGCGTTTATCAATAACAAGTCAAAACTGCATTTCGAAACCACCCAGATTCCGTAGCCAGTTACGTCACACTACTCCTATTAGTAGATAAAAAAGTAAAAATATTTAATAAACTACCATTACAACAAATTCATATGCAAATACCTGCCAGTATAGATTCCTACGATCACATTCTATGAGATTTTTGGATAACTGAGCAGATTTATATGGTGAACCATGAAGTTTATAAAATTCAGTCAGTTTTACTGACTGTTTATCGAACACTGAAGAAGTTTGCTTGTCCAACGATGAATCACTTGATGAGTCATTGAAGCTACCAACAGCTGGGTCATAAATTTCTGCCTCTCTAGGTACTGAACAAGCCCTTTCTGTCTCTTCTTCGAGAACAGCATCTTCAATCTCAGCAAGCATTTGACCAGTGGCCTATATAAAATATAGAAACTCAGGAAATATTTCCAAATAATCAATCACTTTGAAAGTAAACGACAATGAATTACGACAAAAGAAAAGAATAATTTTTCATCATTCAGTCTTTAGTGTTAGACGCTGAATGAAATTGCTAACAATCCTCGAATTTCACTGTAATGCTCGTTAACACAAACCTCTATAGGGCATATTCACAACCTAGATTTAAATGATGCCTTCTGTCTTTCTCTCTCCCGCCTAGAGACCTAGACCCATGCCACTGAAGTCACAGACAGCACTATTAAACCTTTAATGCCTACAAATAGGAGTAAAGCATAAAGAAGAAATAATCCTCGAATTTAAAGTTTTAAATGAAGCCTACTCACTAAAAAATTAAAAGCAGTCAACAAGGAAAAAGACATCTGGATGGAGTGTTTCACACTAAATATTAAATAAGATGTGGAAGTAAGTCCGATAATGAGTTAGTCAAAGCATAATAGCTGAGGCTACTTGACAGTGTGCTATGCATACCTAGCAGCCTTCTATCTTGAGATGCAAAGTTTAAGTAAGTTTCCGCTACAAAAACTGAGTGCTTGGACCTATGAATTCAATAATTGTTGGTCCGAGTTGTGCGCAGAAGTACAGACTATATAGCTGAAATACATAGAGATATTTTAAAAACGTTGCAAGGGAAATTCAGTTTTGCGGCGTAATGCGGTTTGAAAACCACCTTTAGAAGAAGGTGCATCGATCAAATCTTTTTTCGACAGGTTTCCAAGCACAGATATACTTACCGACAGGAGGACACAGCTTTTTTTAACCTTTAGGCGACGTTCGACTCCGTATATCGTGAGGTGTTGTGGCAGTCTCCAACTGTGAACAGGGGGACCAGGCAAGTATGTAACTGTAATTAAAGCCCTCAACTCAAACTAACGCACTCATCTGAGAGTCTAAGGCATGACTTCATTTGAAATGACGACAACTAATGGTGTCTGTAGCAGATGCTTGAGAACACCGTTTCTACTCAACTTCCCTAAAACTGTTTTAATGGATATAACCTTAAGTACCTTTGACTTTAGAGGGATTGGCCTAATCACGGAGAGCACATAGTTAACATGGAATACACAGACGCTGACAAAATACATGGTTTTCTTAACGTCTTGGGCAGAAATCTGAGTATGTTTGGCCAGTATGCGTTTGGCACCTGTCAGATGTAAAATGATGCTCTAGACTGGTCTGCAACTACTCCCAGTTTCATGTTAGGGAGTGCAGTGGTGGGATGTGTCGACCACTTCGCCTACTTGGGGAGTCGCATCAACACGAACAGGATAGTTGCTGACGAAATCTCAGCTCGGGCACAGGTCCGTTTGGAATTTGCGAACTTACATCATCTGTGGCGCCAGTTGATGACATGTCCAACAATTTATCATGGGACGAAAAAACTGTACTCCAGTTCTTTCTGGTACATGGCTTTGAGAAGTGGTTGTTAAAAGTAGCAGATATGAAGAGAGCACAGATGTGTGAAAATACCTGTCCTCACAGCATCGCTCAGGCAGGGAGGAATCACCCTGTTAGCAGCGTAGAGGTAAGGCGAAAGATGCAAGCCAAGATAGGCAAGACGGTTGGTAAGGTTGTAAACCTCTATCGAATGAGACAGACTGGACATGTGTTGGGCAGCACAGCCAGCATCTTCGTCAACGTGCAATACTGGTAGAAGTTGGATTAGGCTGGAAGACGGCTGAGGGTGGCAAAACCCAGACGTCAAAACAGTGCATGAAGTGTCTGACTGTTTATAAGAGCCACGTAGGTGGGTATACACTGACTGGTTGGGGTCACCAATCGACAGGTATCAGCGGTTGAGGCCTCCTGTTGAAATGGCTGAAAATCAGTCACAATGGTGCAGATGTATTCACTCTTTGATGTCTTCTAAAGCTTGAATGTTTTGACTAACCTTCCTTTTTAAACTCGTTCTCCACTCAAACCTTTTTCTATCCACTTATTCTTTGTATGTTACTGTGAAGTGTGGAAACTTGAACCAACGCACTTTTTTGCGACGTCCTACGTTGACTTTCTACGTCATATATTTCTACTTCCATTGGTCATCTTCTTCTTTCTGCGCGATGTTGATGGCTGCCGTAAATTGTGTTTAAGGACCTGAACTGACCTTATTGCTAATTAATTAGATGTCCTGCGCATAAAGTGAAAATACATGTGTTTCTAGACCATAACTTTGCACTTCTTAACACAAATCTCGCTTTTTCGATCAATGGTTTTAATTTTGAATTCTCTTGATAAATATATCGAACACAAACGGGGTACTAACATGTAAGATTATAAATTTTCTTAGTCAACTAAGTGAATACCTGAATGGCTTCCTTTTAACGGTAAGCATAAACCAATAAGAAAAGTGGACTAAGTTTACTGTTAAAGGATTTTAGCGATGGGAAACAGAATGACAAAAAATCAACGTAGAAATCACAAAAAAATATCCATCAATTCAGGGTGTCATGTTTCACACCAGCATGCAAAACATAAGTTAGTCAAAACGGAATGACATTAAGGTTGACAAAATTGTCTGAGACGAGAGACAACGTGTAGGTAAAGGTTCACGAAAATGTTTACAATTTCTGAAAATTACAAAGAGTGTAAACATTTGTGTCAGGCAAGGGATGCTCACCTGTATTCTGTGCAATACCATACCGATATGTGGAGTCATTGGTTCAATGCTCAATTTTCAGCCATCTGGTCACACATGCCAACCTAGTTCTACCCTATCAAGGTCTCAGTTAGCTATGGACTTTCATCACAACTTACACAATTGATATGACTCGTCACCCAGTACACTAATCTGTACATGGTTCTGGGTATTATCCACTACTGACATTTCACGAAGTGAAGTGACTAACGAATGTGAAATCTGACATGATTAGTATAATACTAACCAATATATCTAACCGACAGCTATTACTTTGGAGTGGTGATTGGATTTGCACATTCAAATAACCCAAAGATCTGTATTACATATAAATGTAGGAGGCAAATAAGGGTGTGCATTACTTAAGATTCATACATAACAAAGGATTGAAATTTCTCTGCTTTAGACAGGAGTCTCTCAAATGACGTCCGCCGTTGATGAAAAATAGTTAAGGTAACTGCTCTTAATAACAGAAACTTACATCTGGAGGCAAATGCATCAAAGGATTATCAGCAAGTACTAAAGTTGTTGGTGGTGGCAAAAACTGGTTGAGTTGAGCTTTCAACTGTTCTGCCTCAACTTGTTCATTCAATAAATCTGATTGTTCCTCTTCTTCATTATCACTCCCTTCTTGTTCTACTATGTCTTCCTCATCTTCCTTCTCTTCTTCCACTTCAGTGCAATTCTCTGTAGTGCACTCATCGAAATCCTGGTCACCTTCATCTTTGATTTCTGTTACTGACTGATCGACTTCACAACTATTCGAGTTTTCGGAATGAGATGATAACAATAGGTCTTTTGTACAGAGACTACAATTTATAGAATCATCTTGGTCGGTGGAATACTGATCACTTGACAACTGTTCACATGGAAACTCTATATCCAACGCCTTTAGTGTAATATCTCGTGAATTTCGTTCCTTTATTAAATACCTTGTTGTCTTGGATGGATTATTACCTTCATTATCAAATTCCGTAGAGGAATCAGATTTCAATGATGGAGATGAAGAGCTCTCGTCCCCAGATGTTTCTTCTCGGTCATTTGTGATCACTAAATTGATAGGAAAGAATGAAAATTTCTTAAAATGAAAACAAGCACATTCAATAAAATTAAAATAATTGCACACACCAAAAATTTCTTCAAAGTAGGTAGTATGTATACGCCAACTAATGAGTGAGATGTTTGACCACCAATCAAAAGCTGAGTTGGCCTAAAACAGTATTTGCCGTTACCCTTCATAAGCATGTCCAAGACGTCATAGGTTAGTCTGAAGTGTTTCTAAAGTGGTGAGTATATGCTGTGGAACCATCATATGAGCAATCCTGAGGTTAGATATAGAGTAACTGACTAAAAAAGGTAAATCTACCAATGAGGTAGTGATCATTTACCAACTCAAGCTCTCGACCCCTGCTCACCTTAAAGTACATTGTTCACTAAAGCTGACTACTTCGTCAGGTGATGAAAAGTGAAAATAGCATAAATATAGGCGAAATGTATAATTGTTATGAAATATTATCAAAATTTGACCGAATAGTATCACAAATATTGGGCGCTGAGTAAAAGGTTGTTATTAGATATATATACTTCGTGGTTTTGTAAGCCAGCGTGTTTAAGGTATAGTATTATCCAAAAACGAAACCATATATTTTATAGAATCCTTGAAATACAAACACGTCATACGTTTATGGTCTCTTACAATTGCCACTAGATGATGTATTCTTCTCTCCAGCACTTTCAGCATGGTGAGAGAGATCTTCCCGATGGCGTTTATGGTGTTTCTTGCTTTTCGACTTTTTTCTAGTTTACGTTTCCGATCATTTTCACGCTCTGTACGGATTGAATCCAATGCTGATCGAACCACGCTTGGATCTAAACGAGGTATCTTCTGTTCACTAGATACAACAGGGGGAAAAATGAATACAAGAAGTTCAATAGTGAGACTTTATAGAGGACAAGAGAAACTTAAACAAATAAAAGCATAGGAAGCAGGATATTATGAATTCATAAAACTTCAGAACTCATCAACTGGACACTTTGCACACCTGACTATATATACGCTGAGTATAACACAGGGAGAGATACACACTTATTTACAACTAGGATAAAGAATAAATACAGGTTTTAGAACAGTGCCAAGTAGACGTGAGCAAAGGTTGTAGAGGGTGTGAAAATTGACAGTGAAAAACTGCACAGATTAAGGTTTCCTCCCATCATTGTGATAAGAATATTTGATGATCAAATAATTAATAACTGGTAGCAATAAATCCGTTCATTAAATGAAAATCAGAAAAAATATAGGTCAAGGTGTAAAGAAAAATAAGTAAACAATAAAAATGATAATAATAAATCAGTCAGCGGATTCATAATACTACGGAATGTTACAACGGCAAATCCAAGGTAAACACCATTTTAATCTGCACCTCAAGGACCAAATTCTGAAGCTAAATCGCACAAGCTTATCCAAGCAGTTTCTGAATCCACTGTATGTTGACTAAAGTAAATGACTTAATACAGTCGATATCTTTACTATAGTCAAGAATATGCTTGCTTATAGAACTTCAGCGTTACATTTGGACTAGTCCGGACCGATAGCCGTAACTTAAGCATTGAGGTCAGGTTTATTTACCATAATGACCATACGATCTACACTTACTGAAACGCTTGTTTTCTCAAGGACCCACCGTACCAGAGAGGTTCTTTGGATAGAGGCAAAAAAAGGTATCAAATAGAAATTTCGACGCTTTGAGGGGGATCCGAGGGGGAAGACGTGCTGCTGCTTGAATAGGATAGTGACAGAAGTAGGAAGTTTGGGGTGGAGGATCAGCAATACCAAACCCATACTACCGTCCTATGAAAATTTGGAGTTAGGAAACGTCAACCCTAAAAATAATACACCCCTCTACCAATGACTCACCGGTGTCGATAGTACGAGTTCATAGCAACATTTAAAAAAAAAAGTCAACCAAAATCTCAAACTTCTAAAAATCCCATATGTAACCTATCTCAAACAGATGTCCCGTAACCTCTTCGGTCATGCACTAACCCTTCTTTCTAAGGCACCTCAAGAGCCAACCTTTCACGGAGAAGACGCCCAACAGTCAACCGTGTATCACAACTCTGTCAGCACTCATGTTCCCTCAGATAGTTATCAACCCTCCACATTCCAACCTTCTAATCTCCCTTCACATACTTCGGTCAACGTTCTTGCATCATCTCTAATCTACTCCAGTTCTCTACCTCTTAATAAGGAGTTGAGGTCATAAAACAGTCTCCCTTCTCTCCTGAGACTGCGTTCCAAACTGCACATTGCACCTCTCAATGTCCATACTTTCTATCAAGTCGGAAAACAACTTTCACCAGTCAAAACTCTAGAATTTCAGGCTGCATTTCAGGATGCATACAGGATCCAAGTTCGGTTATTCACTTGACCTGGTCCAACCAATTCGGAGAATCCACACAATTCATCCTTAGAGTATCTAGAGACTCAACCACTAGTTCTCGTGGTCTTGCAGGAATAAGTATCGCGTTAGACTAATTCTAAGGCACAAAGTGCACTGCTCGATTGGACCCTAGTTGATCACCACCTATGCGCTGTTTCACTGAACGACACAGTGAAGAGTTAAAAGAATATTGAAACTAACAGTTGTCTTTTTGAAATTTGTGCTTACGCACCTATCGACTGAAGCCTGAATGAAGGGAAGGAGTCTCATCGAAAACTGTCTAACCTCCTACTCAAAGCTAGACATCCACACGTGATTGTTGTAGCAGAGGATTTCAAAGCATAAGTGAGTAGGCTAAGTCAGACAGAAAGGCACATAGACAGGTGGCACTTTCCGAGCGAACGTACAGAGCGCAGTAAAAGATAGGAAGGAGGGATGAAAAAATGGTGAGTATAGTAAATTAGTTAAAAGGTAAATAAAGTGTGGATATGACTTCGACAATGACATCGATTCTGAGCCATATCACCTAGTCTCCAGCCACTGGTTTGTGTTGTGATGCTTATCACAACCAGCGAGGCTGTATCTCCCAACAGCCAAAGACTTCATGTACTGTTGTCATATCTGAGTCTGTCCGCTCAGATCCCTTATCCAGGCTGAACATTTTTCGGCTAACATTGGACGGTGAGGCAGACAGTGACAAGGCACGAGTAACATGTCCCAGCCATCTTCGTCGATGAAAGTTCACAACCCCATCAACAGACTTTTCTCTCCCCCCTAAGATTCTATACCTGACTTCTGCCTTAATGTCTTGGCGACACGGCGATTTACAAACAATGCTACGAAGGTAACGGTGGCCGAATACCAGAAGATTTCTCATGTTCTTAACCTTTAATAGCCATGTTTCACAGTCATACGGTAGAACATAGTGAGCTATAGCTCAGTACACTCGGTACTTATTCAACGACCAGACATCGCGGCGGCGCCACACATGACCTACGTTGGTGATAGCTAATCGAATCTTTTGTATCCGAGCATAGATTTTGTCGACCACTGACTAACCACGGTTGATACGACTTTCCAGGTAAGTGAAGTCCGTCAACGCACTCAACCACTTCAGTCTCTACTGTTGAACGAGGTTCCATCGAAGACCAGTCCCGCAGCAACAATTCCCATTTCAGTGGCAAGAAATGCATCCCAATCATTGTCAAATTGCCATTCAAGGTGTCCAGAAGCCTTTTCATCCTGTCAGTCTCCATCTGACAGGACTATGTCATCTGAGCAATCTAGATCTACCGACGATTCTCCTATGATAAGACCAATTCCTATAAGATCAGATGAATAGACAGAGAACTACATACGAAGGTACATGATGTAGTCGAATAAGAACTAGGAGTGGACATTCTTGATAGACACCACTCGAGGTTCAAGACTCACCTGATAACTCACCGCAGTCTCAAATACGCTCAGGGATGTCCGAGTTAAATGTCTTCAAAAGAGCGATATACTTACTCGGTACCCTGTTCAGTGAGACATACTGCCACAAAACCTGTCGAACACCGCCTTCATGTCTGAAAATTCAGCCAGTGTCAGTAAGTATGCTTGTGTACTGGAACCTGGTGGAGGGATGACTATCAAGTTGATGCATCCATGGTCTGGTCTAAAACCTGTCTGGTTTTCTCAGACTCCCTGTTCCTGAGCTTGAGCTTTCAGACGACTAGTGACTATAGGACCTAGAATCACAGAAATTATTATCGTCAGGCTGATTCCCAAGCGCTTGTCACAAAAGGATATCTCCCCTTTCTTGAAGACTGAAATAATCAGTGATTGAGATTAGTCATCAGGGATTCTGTTTGGTTCGCACATACCAGTAAATAGTTCAGTTAGTCGGACTAAAGATTCGCCACCATCCTTTTTAAATACCTTTGGAACTCGTCTATCTGACCCTAGTGTCCTTCCATGTTTCAAGTTACCTACGGCTTTCTCGACTCATGCAAGTGTTGCAGGACCTGTCCTCATGTTCCATTCAGGATCCGACTGGAAAAAAAGCAACGAAATAGTATCTGAAGGTCAGCTGAACTGTCCCTCGAAGTGTTCCAACCATCCATCCAGTCTCCTCCCCTGCGAGTGGATCGTAGGACCATCTTTCTCTTATATAATCCTATAAATAATTGGCTTTTTGTCCCAGTTTCCCTGACAACTCCTAAGAGCTGTCTACTGTCACCGTTGCTTTCTCCATTTCTTTAGCCTTCGCTGTCCACCACTGTTCGTGGTCATTGCATAGACCTTTTTTCAGTCTACGTTTGAGTTGCACTCGCTTTTTATCCTACTCGGAGCCTACGAGGATTCATTAAAATGCAGTAGTAAACGACAAAACATCAAACGACATAAATGTTTGAGTCAAAAGATTTCATGACGACGAATCTTTTCTATTTTTATCACGTTTATTGACATTCGTTAAAGAAAATTATAAATTGATGTTTAAATGTCCCCAGAGTAGTATATAATTCATATTGTTTGTTTCCTTTGCATCTAAATTGAAGTCAACATTTTTATTGCGACTCTTCCAATGTTTTATTGTACATGATTTATTTACATAATCTTTCTTGATCTATGCTGATTTAAATAAGCAGGAACTAAAACCAGTATGCTTATTGAGTCAGTCAACGTGGAATTACTCAATAACGGTCCAAGGTACTGCACTGTACTGGTGGTATACGTATGAGAGCAGCTGGTGTTTACTGATAACTGACAACATGCAGGTTTAGTGAGGTATTTGAGAACAATATTTGTAGCCTCTTTTTCTCACAAGAAAATAAGGTATCAACACAAGTTGATAGCTGTTCGCGGGAAACACGCTAACTTCTACATGACAAACAGCTAGCAAGATGATTTCATCATGGGACTCCTACAACAGAGTAAATATTATTTACGGTAAGATGGCTACCGATTTCCGTTTGACAGATCTTTCAGGCACGTTTCAGCATGGATCTTTAAGTTATTTGAATGTGCAAATCCAATCACCACTCCAAAGTAATAGCTGTCGGTTAGATATATTGGTTAGTATTATACTAATCATGTCAGATTTCACATTCGTTAGTCACTTCACTTCGTGAAATGTCAGTAGTGGATAATACCCAGAACCATGTACAGATTAGTGTACTGGGTGACGAGTCATATCAATTGTGTAAGTTGTGATGAAAGTCCATAGCTAACTGAGACCTTGATAGGGTAGAACTAGGTTGGCATGTGTGACCAGATGGCTGAAAATTGAGCATTGAACCAATGACTCCACATATCGGTATGGTATTGCACAGAATACAGGTGAGCATCCCTTGCCTGACACAAATGTTTACACTCTTTGTAATTTTCAGAAATTGTAAACATTTTCGTGAACCTTTACCTACACGTTGTCTCTCGTCTCAGACAATTTTGTCAACCTTAATGTCATTCCGTTTGACTAACTTATGTTTTGCATGCTGGTGTGAAACATGACACCCTGAATTGATGGATATTTTTTTGTGATTTCTACGTTGATCCAGCTATCTGCTTGTCCTTATTTCACTACTGTAAAACTTACGGTAAAATTACAATCATTAGGGTAACAATGATCCAGAAGTCACTTGTTTCGGATCTTGATGTGACTGGTTATTTTTAACTCTACTCATCATTTCTGCAAATGAAGTCAAGTTAGCTAATTAACGTACTTTAGGATAGTAAGATTAGATTTAGCCTTTAAATATCCGCTTGCCAGTTAGTAACTTATCTGCTTTTATCCCCCTACGTTTATTTGATGCCTGGTATACGGGACAAAAAAACAACAATAATAGTATTCTACTTAAGTTAACAGATAAACTTACACTTCATTGGTAACATCAGAAGATGGTTCTAACTCTAAAGATGACCGATGGTGTCGATGTGAGTGTTTACGAGTATGTTTATTTTGAAGATGATCATGATGCGAATGGTGATGATGATGGTGATGATGATGATGATGATGACGATGACGTGGACGATTATTACGGTGAGATGAATAGTGAAATCCATGATGATTGTAATACCTTCGCATACGTCGAGCATATCTTATTGTACCTGGAATTGGTTCAATATCAGGATCAAAATCACTTGGGTGGAAATCTTGATTTAAGGGATATCTAGATTCAGGGACATGCTCCCAATGGTAATGACAGGCCCATAACCATTGTGGAGAAACAAGGTAAAGTGATGGTATATTCGTACTTGATGAATGATCATCAGCTATATATTTCAATGCAGCGTGCACCTTTTCTGTGCCTCTACGACAGGCGATTAAGTGTGTAGTGTGATGACCAACACTACGCGCAATATTATGAGATCTGAAAGAAATTTTGAAAAAACGATACACCATTCAAGAATGCATAGCAAGTGAACTGTGACATTTCAGACTAAACGAAGAAAACATATTCATGTTTACTAATCAAAACAAATTATTGCAATACTTCTGTACATATATGCCTATCTATATGGGCGTGCAGTTGCAATCACCATTGATGAACTATTGAAAATAGTAGAAACGTTACTGTATAAACACCACACGCCTAAGTAAAGCTCGGGATGAGCGGATCTACGGAAACCAGGGAAGTTTCAGAACTGCTTGTGGATAAACCAACCAGATATTCTCTCCACAAGCACGTTTGAGAATGCCCGAAGGCGGTATGCAACTCCATCGATCGAGAGGTTTTATACTAGTATTTCTTACTGAAAGGAATATCTGATAAGTATATGACAATTTGAACACCTACAGGCATGTGTCAAAGCCTATGCTGAGGTATTAGATTAGTTGCATATATTGAGTGTCGTTCGTAAAGGATTTCCACTTTTCATATTCTTACTTAGTTTTACAATACACATTCTTATGAAGGTCTTCCTCTCGTCGCCTGACCTTACGGGGATTCACTTCATCACAGGAGACTCCATTAGTATATCTAGAGTACATAGAAGACATAGTTATTTCAGGTGATGTTGACAAGATTCAGAGTCTTCTTGATACCCAGAGTGGGAGTTTGAGAATATTCGGGACGAATGTCTCATCGCGCAAATGTAAAATGTTGGTCCATAACTGGTTTGCATTAGTACCTCATCCAACGGAAAGTAGTGAATTAGTTAGGAATATTGTCTACTTCACTTAACTGAGCAGTTGGATCATCCGTTGATGAGTCATTAACTGACGAAACATCTGGCCTTTCATCTTATTGCATTCTCATTTGATGTGCTGGTGTGAGGTGTAGCAACTTGAGCCGTTAGGCGGTAATTCTAAAACATATTTTGATATTGTATCCCCGACTTCAATCATTAAGTATTTAATGGTATACAAATAACTAAACCACATCCACTGAAGGCAATTATTTCTTACAGTAAAATAGACAACGAGAAATAATTTGAAAACAAAAAGAAACTAGTTAAGTAATATCATGATTATCATCCCCATTACGAATCCATCAAATATACCACAAGTTACACTACCTAAAAAAGATAATGTTTCTAAAATATATTGGGTTAAACTTTTTAAATGTCAGAAAAGTTGTATGTTTCACATCATCAATTTACCATGGTGATACATCACTACATCAATAATCGATACTAAGCAATATTGAGTTATAAGTTAAGATTACTAAACAAAAGAGACTAATTTCAAGTTGTTATTCATCGAAGACTGACATCAGTTGGAGGAACAAAGGAAACCTGGGAGCACTGGACAGCTGTTTCGCCCTAGTATTGGATTCTGACCCAGTGGCTCAATGGTAACGCGCTGGTCGCGGAACCTGAAGGTCGCGGGTTCGATCCCTGCTGGTGGGGTCAAGGGTGCGCACTGCTGAGGAGTCCCATACTAGGACGAAACAGCTGTCCAGTGCTCCCAGGTTTCCTTTGTTCCTCCAACTGATGTCAGTCTTCGATGAATAACAACTTGAAATATTTCCAAATCTCCACAACCCCCTCAAAATTTAAAAGAGACTAAACATTATACAATAAGTTTCAACATAATCTTGGAATGTTTTGATTTTCTGAACATGCTAAGGTTATATATTAAATTTTATTCTTAGAATGGTTAAAAACCAACTCGGTGGTAAAACTCTGACAGGAAACTCGCAACAATTAGGATTTGGATATTTATAATATAGTCTAAATGTTGGCAACATTATTACCAAAATTAATTTCATTCTCAATTGAATTAACTGTACGTTGCGCGTCCTAATTTTTCAAAGCTGAAAATACTTCAGTCAAGACCATAAATTATGATTTAGTCGATATAGAAACAATAAAACAACCTGATCAACACAGAGAGTTGAATAACACATACACTTACTGACATGTATATGTTTTATAGAGTTCTCACTTATATCATTCAGTAGGATAACTCTCATCAATTAAAGCTGATTATTTGTCCTTCCTATTATCTTCAACTCAATATAGGCTGTTCAGTATATAGTTTACAGTTATGCTACCTAAGTCACATCATTTCAATACAGGTGACCATTTACTTCATTGATCGGGACAAAAACCCGGAGTCAATCGGATACCAGTTTGGCATTTTGATCTTCATTTATTTGGTCGTAGGGAAAGCCATTGTTTGATCATAATTAGATAATAGAGACAGAAAACCCTTATGTTAAAGTATGTTAGTTCACCACCCAGTCCTTTTAACGTTGCCGCCTCCACACAAACTATAGCTATAACAGGAGACCCTGAACTTGACATCATACACAGTGAAAGGTGAGCAAACTGCTTATACATTTCAAACTAGAAAAGAAGTATATATTCAATGCAGCTGGGCTTTCAGAGTTTCCATCTAACCAATGTTACCATCTTATGATGAAGACTGGTAAGTGGTTAATATGCTCACCGAAAAACAATGTGATCTGCAAAGGATAAATCGCCATTAATCAATGACTGAATCAACAAAGTATTTGAAAAACCTAGTAAAAAAACTTACTCTGACTTTGACTTCAAATTTTCAACTGGTAAAGATGAGTTGGCATCATTACTGTTATTATTATTATCAGTATTAGTGTTATTATTGTCTCCTTGAGTAGACGAAGGCAATCTTAAACCAGCATGTAATATACCACCTAAACTACGAACAATTCGACCAGCTAAACATCGATCAGCAGGGAAGTGAGCAGGTGATAAGCCAGAAAGGGTTACATGACACGTAGGACCAAGAACAGTTTTTCTTAACTTTGCAATAACATCAGAAACATGTGGTAAACAAGCATATGATATGTCCACATTTCCAGTACAATCATTTGAAGACAATTTGAAAGGATTATCCTCCAGTGATAGATCTGACGAATGCCCACTATTTTAAAGTGTTTAAAAATCAAAGTTTTAAACAAAATGTTTTGAACAAAAAACAGAAAATAACCTGTAAACAAACTTTTAACGGATCAATGAGCATGAATTCCAAGTAGTGTCGAAAACACATTTACCACAGGAAATCGATCAATACCATGACCATAATATATTCATCAGCTTCCGTAGTATCAGTAGTCCAACGAAGAATTGCACGTTGAATTTTATTGGATAGACAAAAAATGCTACTAATACTACTAATCAGTGATATTTAACGGCAAATTTATCATATCTTAAGTGTTCAAATTGATACCATCTAAAACAACTACTGGAAACATCATCCATAAATAATGTATCCCTGCAAACTATATGACAAGAAATCAATGAATAACTTGCCATAGTATCGAAATACATCGCTTTATAGTGCTCATTAGAGACATGCTTTGATATGGATCTCCCGAAGTTCTAATGAGAAGCCATGCGTGACCTGCGGGTCAACCAGTCAGAAGGGAAGCGGACGCCAACTGAAGAACTTCGATGATAGTCAGGCTGTATCGCAAGTTGACAGAAGTAGGAAAGTGTAAACCATTAGACTCTGACCCAGTGGCTGAACGGTTGATGCGTTCCCTACTCAAGTCGTGAGTGCGTACCGCTAAGGACGAAACAGATGTCCAGGGCTACTAGGTTTTCAGTGGTTCTCTAACTCATGTCAGTTTGTGATGAATATATATATATATATATATATATATATATATATATATATATATATATATATATGATGTATACATTCGCTAAACCTAATCACCAACCAATCAACACTTACACTGATATTCAACCAACCACTGCAATTGACATACAGATATAAGTCATACTACCAACCACAAACTTGAAACGATCTAATTGTAATGATCATTCCATATCCATTCTGAAAGGCATTCGCCGCAAATTCCGCTATCCAAACCAACCAACAATTATGACCAACAGTAGGCATTAATGATTCCATACAATTTGATTAGAATAGTCAAATAAGTTCTCAGTGTAAATGACAACTGGTACAAAACCTCAAGGTTAAGACTATACAAATGTTAACAAGGTAGTAAAAAAATAGCTATTTAGTTCGACAGGTTAAAAGGATCAAATGCAAAGAACCTTTTTTCATCAAAGCATACAGTCACAGATTGGTTCCAGTTTACGCAAAAAATTGCTTGTCTGGAATACTACAGTAAGCACTTTTTTTCGTTTTCATTCGATACCGTTTGATTATTTACGAATATTTCAGAAAAACAAACTACTGATTTAATTACTGTTCTGACAAGGAGGTGGCTGGTTGCTTCGGTAATGCCTAAGCATTCTCATTTCCTAAATGAGACACAGTTCCAATTCAACAATCATCTATACTTTTAAATTGACAGTATTGTAATGAATAGTAGAATTAGAAACTCTGTTACCTGACTAATGTCTGGTCGGTATGGAATACAAAACTGAGACGAGTAGCGTGATTAATGCAGGTTGTATTTATGCCAGTATGCATGAAGGCAATTTAGCTACTTTTTGCAGCTGGTGCTAACCCAGTGTAAAATTTATGTTACAGAGCATAAAAAGGAAAACATTCACTTTTTGGATGTCAACCTTTTCATATAGGATAATACAGCTGAAAGATCAACTGATGTGAAACCAACGTAGGACTTTAATTATTTTATTCTGACTCATTATAAACGATGCACTTGTGTGCGAGGTTCCATGTTGATCTTGTCTTCCAGTCAGAGAGACCAAACTTCGTTCTGAAAACATGGTAGAATAGGGAAAAAGTATTTCGAAAGATGTATTTATGAAAATGACTATCTTGAAAGATTCCTCTGCAAGCTGTCTGAAGACTATAAGCATAAAAAATCATCTTGGCTACCAAGAAGCAGGTTCATATCAAATTGCCATTTATGGAAGATGCATTCAACTTGTTGCTGTTAAACATAACAGTGGGGAGTATTTAGAGTGGGAAAATATAAAGCGATGACTACTGCGTGTCAAACTGTGTATAACAACTTACACTTGTTTGGAAAAACAAACACAGTAGACGTATGAAGAAATGCTTTTTGTCGTGTGTTGTAGAACGCTATCTTAAACGGTATTCCGTGAAGTTATGTCATACACCATTTCTGGGACTATGTATGATCAAGATATTGGTCTTAGCAAAAGAGTTACCAACAAATAGACGAATAAAAGATCACTTAAGGTCACAGAAACCTATGCCATTCGACTTTGAAAACTCAATATGTGTGAGCAGGAAGAAACAGCAGGCAGCATTAACCCAACATAGTAGCTTCCTTTCTACATTTTCATTTCAACTGGAGTAACTATGATTCGAAATGACGTAGCCAATAGCGCAGGTAATGGTGGAGGTACTTAGATGTTTATAAATACACTGGGAGTGCCTAACCTGCTCGATCAAGAGTGTGCAAATTTATTCAAGGTATGATGAAAGTAAAGCCTTACCTATTGCCCTCCCCCGATTAGGACCCACTTGGCTGATGTGTTTGCCTATATCTCTGATATGGGTTGCCGGTCAATGATGAGGTTCACCCTGGTAACTGAACTGGAGGTCATTATCAAGTGCTCAGAGTGATGAAGCCTTTATCGTCCCTCTTGGAAGTCTTCGACTGACTCTTGGACCTGGATAATCATCTAACACCACGCAGACAATAAGGGCTGAAATGCCTGGATGCCACCTCACCAACCGAAGTGACACAGGAGTTGATATTGGTCGAGCGATGGGTGTCAGATACGGCCAGCCTTAATGAGATAAACCATGCCAGCCACTCGATGTCGTCCCAGCTGAGGTACGGGTAAATATCCAGGACTTTGGGGTCTTCTCCGTTAGTAGGAGCGCATGGCATGTTTTGTACACCGTTTTCATGCATATGCGCCTAATTGGGACCCGGCCCATTGGCAGGTGATGTTTGGCTGACCTTAAAAAGATAAGGCTTTTAAAATCAGAACCGGTTCCTTTCTACATTTTTATACCTTACCGTATCTTTTCTGGATTACTTATTTTTCTGAAATACAAGGCACTAATAATCTTAAGTCGTTTCCGGACCTCTAAATTATGGTAATGGTTACCATCTGTTTGTTCGCTTGACATATTCACAACTTATAATATTCAGTATTTAACTATATCGTCTCCTTTCATCTACATTTTACTTAAGTTCAGATTTACTTGTTCTTTGATATTAATTTCTATAATGAACCCTATTCATTTTATAACGTGAAATTAATTTCTGAGTTTTAACATCTAACAAATGTGCATCGTTTCCCACCTAAAAAGCGACATTTGAACAGGTTAATATGTTATGACCTTGTTAACAAGTTTGAATGTTAACTTTAGGAATGCATGCTTAGTTATCATAAATGCAGACGATTCAGTTGAACAATCCTATCGAAATTTGACAAATTTACTAAAAATCTCCTTCGCTCACCTTTGTTCCTTGCCTTAATTGCATCATGCAACTACTCTTTTCAAAAGACACTAATCCTCAGATGTGACTAAATGAATACAACTCTCTCTTTTAGTTTCAAAATCACCATAATAATAATGAGCTGATAAAATTTACAAATAAACACAAACACTTTACCTCTCCTTCTTATCAGCTGTCTTGATTGACTTTTTTCCATTATGAAGTTGAAAAAGATCATAAGCTTTAAAATAATTCCTGTGAATCCTCAACAGAATTTCTTGTAAACGCAATAAATAGTCGTCATCTATTGTATCCAGTTTTTCTTCCATTGTCATTTTACATGCAGAACTACTAACTGTATTATTATCTACAGTGTGAGTGACATTTGTTTCAGATGCTACAGAATCACTATCTCTGTTTTCACTGTTAATCGATGTAGGCGAAGTTGATGATGAAAACTTTTCAGTGGACTGAGACTGACAGAAATCAATAGGATCAGGAAAGTTTGATCATTATCTCTGGATGAATCAAATAAAAGAAGAAAAAACATTATAGACTTTTGAGGGTAATCAACAAAATTACGATGTAAAGATGGTGATTTTATTTCATCTAAAATGCGAAGGCATGTCTTTGGCTCAGGAACACCGCATTCCTGTTTCACTACCATATCCGCGCCGTGCAAATTCTTTTATTTAGAAGTCAAACATACAGTGGTGTTTTCAAACTCTTTAGCAGTATTATCTCTAGGACTCCAAAATTGCTTACGGAGAAAGTTTGTGAGTAGGTGGGACTGATTTCATCAGAACACGCTTTCAATTGACTCCGAAGGATTTTTGATGAACAATAACGATGCTAAATATTTAAACTGATACCACCATTCAGTAGTAAAACGGATAATACAATTTCAATTATCACTACAGTAAAAGAGGATCCAAGCAGCCTCCCATCCCCACCCAAGAAAACAAGAAACAAATTCAGATATGAAATTCAGTTTAGACCATTCGTATCAACTTCGTTTGAAGGCAACTAACTCGTCTTTTATGAGAATAAATTCGTATCGATTATATCGAAATCGGTAAATCAGTGGTTCTACAACAAAGTTCGTTTTCTACAAACAACGGTAATTGAATGCGCGCAATTTCTTTAAAATGGAATTTTTCGATGGCTACTTTTAATACCTATATGATCTTAAAAAAGAACAGAAATTTGTTTGACATCATAAGTAGTAGATTAATCAGTTCCACAAGAGTCCACTACATTCATGCCCACGAAATGAATAAAACCAATGTGATTGTTTAAGAAATGGAAACAAAACTCACTCGAGTACCTCACTTATAAGCCAGCGCTAGTACAGACCAGTTCTGATGCATTGTTTGGCATTTCACGGGTGCACAACATATGCCAAACATTCTCTAGCTTTGGTTGAAAGTGTACACAAAAAACTCTTTGCTTCATTAAAGCACATTCCCCGTTCGTGGATTAGATTAGGAATTAAGCAATATCCAGTTCAGTCTTAATCCACCTTACATTCTAACTATACGACAATCCGCTACCGATCGTCTTTATAGCGTGCAGACAAAGTTCACAGTTATAAAATTTAAAGACATGAAGTATAGCAGTAGAACACACAATGATATGCCAAAAACACCAATATCCAACTGTTGAACAATGCAAAGTTAGGAGGTATACAAAAAACCAATGAATTCATTACTGTATGAGCACATTTCGAGTAGATAATGCTTAGCACTTATACGTTTTGAAATGATAGGCACAACTAACGAGTGAATGATATCAAACAGTACAGAAATTGAGTTCAACATCCTAATCTAAGCTAACAAAATTCGATACTATCATAATTACATAATTATTTATAAAGATATCTTACTTATTTAGCGCAGGACAAACAGTTTTTTCCTCATCGTTAGTGGTGCCTGTGGTGTTGTCACTGTTATTTAAAACCATTTCCACGTCATGTGACAAAACACTCTCAACAACTTCAGTAAAGTCAGGATCTGTTTTATTCTTTTCCGGTTTATCTAATGGTGTGACAATTGAAGACAACGATGGTTTCGTGACTGACTGGTCCGAATATTGTGTCGTATTTGTCGTGGTTGAAGTACTGGGAGATGGTGACGCCATGGTACACGATGATGACGGAGATAGGAGAGTTGAACTTGACAACCATGGGAAAGCGTTGATATCTCCAACATCCGGAAAGAATCTATGGATAAATGAAGATAAAATACATTTCGACTTGAAGGTGTTCCAACTGAAATTTGCTATCAGCCAAGGAATAGTTGAAAATTAAAGCATATGGCCAGAGAAACACTCCACACTTTAGAACTCCATATCCGTAGGTGTTGATGACTCGTAAATTGTCTAGCCGACAAAGACAATTATTCGAACTAAATCACACAGATATATCTTTAAAGATAATTTCAAACAGTAAGAGGACTAGTACAGCTGAAGTAACCTTGTCTACGTAACTTGTTCACTAGTTACTAGACGGTCCTAAGTCCGGATATAGAGGAAAGGTTGGGCATAGGGCTAGCAACCCTACCACAGAAAACCAATCCAATCAATCGCTAGAGAAACTTCAAAACACAAAGAAAATATAAAAATGAAAACAAAATTATTCCTCACTGGAATCGGAGAGATGAAATGACACCGGTTGGTGAAAGCCTTCGGGAAGCCAGTCGGCCGATGTGTCTTCTATTCCTCGATGAAAGCGAAAGTGAACATGGGGACACCGAATATCCCACAATGTTTGAAGTTGGCTGACAAGGCTGCCCAGATTCCAACGAGATCAGAAGGCATAGCATAGAAGTGCCAGGCTGGGAATCTGACAAAGCAGATCGAATGGGAGTGGACTCTCCAAACTGTCAACTGGAGAGTCAATAATCTACTCCGACATTGTCACCAAGACGACAACCACGGACGAGCACACTGAGTTACGGAGTGGCTATCATCATGTCTACAAGAATATCGAAGGCTCTCATACAACAGTGGGAACCAATCTCCTCTTGCAGTATCAGCATCATGACAGCAAGATTCAACTCAAAAGGAAGGAAGGTCACAATCATACAGTGCTATGCACCTACAAATAATGCAGAGCAAGAGAAAAAGAAGGAATTCTACAGACAACTTCAATCAACACTGGACAAGATGTCAGTTGGCGGTATCAAAATTCTAATGGGCGACATGAATGCCAAACTGGTAGTGGACAACACAGGAAGGGAACCAATCATGAGTTGAGAAGCACTCGGTGAAATGAATGAGAACGGAGAACTATTTCCAGACTTCTGTACATTCAATGATTTGGTGATTGGAGGCGAGGCAGTGTGTACAAGGATATCTACAAGGCAGCAACATGGACTTCACCAGACAACAACACACACTAAAAATCAGATCGAATTCACCTCAATCTCAAGAAAGTGGGGACGGAGACGTAGCCTACTGGACACAAGATCAAGAAGGGGAGCAGAGTTAGGTTCACACCACCCACTATCTAGTGCAAAATTAGGAACCTTCAAAATCAAGTTGAAAGCCTTCAAAGAAGCTAGCGATAGACCACAGTTCAAGTTCAACAACAACAGAAACTGAACTGAAGGACGAAACTACTAAGGACATCTTCACGTCAGTCAGTCATCAGGACAAAATGGGAAACATTCAGCAACATCTCTGAAGGAACCTGTGTGGATGAACACTGGAAGTATTTGAAAGCCATGTGGAAAGAAACCTGCACAACCATATTAGGAAGGAAGAAGAAACAAAACAATGAATGGAATGATCTCGACGGACACATGGAAGCTGATGGAACAGGGAGAGGAAGATGGTTAAGCAGAAGATGAACCAGTGCAGTACAGTACAGTGCATGGATGAACAACCAAAAGAGGAACTGAATACAACTTAAAAAACACTACACTGGACAAAGCAGTGGAGAAGAGTGCGCACAAACACAAAAAACACCTCTACCTCACATTGGCAAGTGAAGCAGAACAGGCCGCTGGTAGGAGAGACCTGACAACACCATATCAAATAACCAGGTTACTACTTACCGTCTAGGAGGAGATCAACACAGATGAAACCAAAGAAGGATAGCGAAGGAAACTAGTTACCAAAGAGGAGAAACAAAGGAAACAAGGGACTGACCACTTCAAAAAACTCTTGAATCGACCACCACCACCATCGCCACCTGCAACTCGTCCAGAAATACCACCAGCAACGGCAGAACTAACACAGTGAACACAGGACCTCCGACAAAAGCAGAAGTCCTGAATGCCATAAAACTGCTGAAATCCGGGAAAGCAACAGGACCAGATGGAATTCCTCCAGAACCACTGAAAACAGACGCACAGACATTAGCAGACGACATGCTCACACCACTACTGCAGAAGGCTTGAAAAGAAGAAAGGAAAGCTTCCTGCCTACCGATTGGAAGAAGGTGTACCTTGTCCAAATCCAAAAGAGGGGAGACATAAGTCTTTGCAAGAACTGGCGAGGAATCATGCTGCTGTCCACCCCAAGTCAGCAAAATATTATGCCGCATCCTCCTGAAGAGACTAAAGGATGCACTGGATTCAAAATTACGACCGGAACATGCTAGCTGCATTCAGGAAGTACAAATCATGTGTGGACCAAATTGCAACACTACTTTACACATCATCATAGAACAGAGTAGAGAATGGCAGTCAAGTCAACTCTCTACCTCAACTTCATCGACTTTGAGAAGGCCTCCGACAGCGTCGACCGAGAAGTAATTTGGCAGGCAGCTAGCTACTTCAACACTACGGTTCTAGTGCCACAAATCTTTATCAACCTCATTCAACAGCGATATGACGATGTCACATGCCAAGTGATCCACAATGGAAAGCTCAGTGACGCCTTTGAAGTGAAGTGAAGTGAAGACAGGAGTAAGACAAGGCTGCCACCTACTATCACCCATGATCTTCCTGATTGTGGTCGACTGGACTGATCATGCACTGGACGACTGCGAGGAGCGAGAACATGGGCATACACTGGCTGTACCGATGAAAAGACCCCAGAAGAAGATTTGGATTTCGCTGCCGATGATGGTTTATGTCTGATGACTAATGTCGCACAAACTCGAAGATCTACAGGCGAAAACTAACAAGTTGATAGAAGAGGCGAGGCGAGGCAGGCAGCGAAGACGGGACTTCAAGTGACTGTAGAGAAGACAGAGGTGACGAAGATACCCAACCAACAACAGCATCAACAACAATCACCACCAACGGGAGAAATCTAAACGAAGTAGTCTCTTTCACCTACCTACCTACCTACCTAGGCAGCATCGTCTCAACTACAGGCGGCGGCACACACAGATGAGGACGTCTTAGCCAGGATCGGAAAGACAGCAAGACAGGCTTTCGTTAATCTGAAATCAGTGGGGAGATCTACTCCACTGGACTTCGCTCAGCATAAAGAACAAGATCCGGATTTTCTTCACCAATGTCAAGTAAGTCAGTGCTTCTATGTGATGGCTCAGAAACTTGTCGCGTCACGAAAAGTATTTTCAACAAACTATAGACATACATCAATAATAGCTGCGGCCTACACCCACTCGATACTGAAGATCAGATCATATGGCCAGAATAATAAGAATAAGCAACAAGGAACTCTGGTTGGTAACGAACCAACCAAGAACCTATCACCCAACAAATATGCAGTAGAAGAAAGTGGAGATGGATTGGGCAACACTGAGAAGACCATTCGGGGAGATCACGCGTCAGGCCCTCGAGTGGAACCCAAAGGGGAAACGACGAGTTGGGCTTCCCAGCTGAGGGTGACATGGAAGAGTTGATGTGAGGAAGAAATGAAAGCTTGTGAGGAATCGTGGCGCCAGGTTCAAAAGACTGGAGAGAACAGAGTCCAATGGAGACGTGCTACTGAAGCCCTATGTTCTACTAGGAACCCAAGGGATAAATAATAATAATACAGTTGAAGTATTACGTGTCTGTTAGTAACATGTCTTAAAACGTTAAAAGATGATGTAGGTAAACAAAGGTATTAGGGAAAAAACAACCACATTGTCTATTGTTGAAGAGCATTTTACAATTTTACTTGCTGTTGCACTCTTCAAACAAATGCAGATACACTTCTCCCACCATTCTTTAGCGATTTATACTCGACTATGGAATTGAAAAAAATTCCGCGCTTACCGATAAGGCTTAACATGAATCAGATTTGACGACCAATCCCAAACCTCGCCACGATCATCAATGATACAAACAAGGTTGAGACCACGAGGAAATAAAGCCCTTTATAGACAAACAGAGAAAGACAGATCATGAAAAAGAATAGATTATAAAGAAATACACACAGGGAAAATAACGGAAATATTATTTACGAGGAAGAGTAATATGACATTGCGGCCAAAATCTGCCGACAAATTCACCCGCTTCAGATATATATCTTTTCGTGGCTTGCAAAATTACTGGATTCTCAACATGAAACTTGGTCTTACGAATGAACAAATAACTTTTTCTACTTCACAGGTAGTAAGCAGAAAAAGCTACGAAAAATGATATTCAAACTCCACAAGATAAATTTTTCCACGTATGAGGAATTAGAGCTAGTGTTTTGAAGACCGGACACCACTAGTAAACGCAAATTGTGTAAATTATAATTACGACGCAATGTTTAGCATGAAAACAGGTTAGGCAACCTCATCACTACTTACCTCAGAAAGTATCCGTTGTAAGTCAACGCGTAGGAGATGCTGACCACCTATGTGTTGCGTTTGGTATGCTAATACATATCAGCTGTACTTAAACTTGTAGTTTCACACACACAAATACTTGAATATTATGATCAATCCTACGAATATGCTGATCCCAATCCTCCAGTATTTAAGAAAGACACAAGATCTGACTTTAGAAAACATCCTTTTGTGTATATTACTGCGAAGTTTAATGTTACGAGTATTTTTTGTCAAATAATGAAATGAAAGCTTTAGTAAGTGTAAGAAAAACAACGATAAAAGTATGCTTTGGCGCCAAAAATAATAATCCGAATTCGCAGGAAGTTATTCATGACATCAAACGTAATAATGTGCAGTTACTTTTTAAGAATCTTAAAGCATCTACTATTCTCCGAATAATTTTTGCCACTTCAAATACACATTTAAATAAGTGAAAATACACAATGTATACAAAGAGTCAATATTTTAAATTTTATTCACTTGAATAACCAATTGATGACTTACTTCAAATTTGCTGATTTAGTCACTGGATTAAAGCATTCATCACGTGAAAGGATACGTTGTGAAAAGTATCTACGCTTTGGATCAATCATTGATGCAAGTTGATGTGCGTACACTCGGTTACCGAATGTACAAATATGCATCTGATAATATTGACTAAGACGATCCAACACCTTTTCTAAATGTGGTCGTAAACGTGTATGATAAACAAGCGGAGATCCTGGTAAGCGATAACGATGCACATCCTGATGACGAAATCATAACAATATGTTCAGAAGAATAAATAAGTAAATATAAAAAAGAATCAATCATAATTATCAGTTGTGCTTTTAGTTTATCGATATTATTATTACCACGATTATTATTGTCATTATTATTACTGGCAATATGAACACCAATTTTTAATTCAAAATATTATAATTCCTCGGTCAACTAGAAGTTGGTTCAAGATGTCTACCCAATCGGCGAAAAATGCAACTGCAGATTAGTGCATTGAACTCTCAATCCAAATTTTATGATTTCCGTTTTACATTCACTTCGATAGCACCGTGAGCATAAAATATGTGAAATGATTACTCAATTGCATTAGTTATCACATAAGTGGTTAATCAACCACTAGGTCATTAAGTGAAACTAAGAAAAGTTGTACTAGGATCCTGAGATACTAAAAGCCACTCAACCCAATTTAACCTGAACAACTAGGCAATGTCACTAGCCATCCACACTTGAAATTTCTGCAGACTTTTACATATATACTATGTTGTATGATTTTTTAGTTGAAAATTATTAGAGACGAAAATAAAATGAGAAACCAAGTGCACGTTAGTATCATAGACACAGGCTACCTGACTGCTCGTGCCTCAGTACGTGAAGTGGGGTTCGAACACGTAACCTACTGGTCGAGATTTGAGCGTATATATCAATCACCTACAACTCCAACATTTTTCACTTAGACTTATGTCAAACAAAAAAGCGTATAATGACTATGATAACAGGTGTCCACATTACTCATATTTGAGGCTGTTGTTTGTTGGTCTGGTTAGTACACTGTCAACCGGTGAGTCACCGCACTGCTTAGTATTCTAGAATTATGAGTTGTGACATGGGTACTAACCATTTTTACATCCTCTTCTATGTGTAGATAAGGTTTGCATAGCCGGTAGTATCACCAGCCCCTAATTAAAATATGTGATTCATCACTTATCGTACGAATCTGCATGTGGTCGCTGAGCTATAATTCTTCGTTACTTTTATTCAGGCCTACCTAATCTGGGCAAACAGAAAACATTGGAATAAAAAATTCGATCTTTTCTTTGCATGAAATACCTTTATTTAAATACATCTACATCTTAGTTACATGATTTAGCAGTCTATGGATTAGGTTTACAACTAAACGCCTGTGTTTTTTTCATAATATTCGTAAAAGAGGATCAACCGAATCTATAAACCATGTAAAGGTTTGTCCAACATGCAACAGGCTATATCTACATTTTGAGCAAGTGAATTACTTAAAACCTGAATTCTGAGCTTAGTCGATTAGAAAAGAATAACTAAGGTTACCTAGCCAGCATATTCCACCAATGAACCACTGTCTCAAAAGTCTTTTTGCCTGTTGACCTCAAGTTTTCATAGACAGAGCGCTTATTGTCAATTTAGGTGTCTAAATTAGTATAAAATTATGAGGAAGTGCACACATCCATATATCTACCAACGCAACCTTTTTACAGAATAATAAACATAAATTTAAAAAATTACCGCATATTTGAAAGCCAGTGGGTCGTTTGTTGTGTGTAATATCGTCTGGTCCAGATCAACAAGTAGGACAAGTTTACGAGCAGCTAATAAACTTTGCTGATCCTGCAAAGCTATCTCATCTGCGACCTGTTAAGTAATACAAATATGCAATATTAAAAAATAAGTAAATAAAGTAAACATAGAAGGAAATGCTGCAAGTCATAAGACTAAAATATTTACACTGGGTGGTGATTGAAGGCGAAATGAAAATGTTGGTCCCGGCAGGATTCGAACCAGCGACCACCGGGTTTCCGGCCTAGTCCTCTACCACCTGTCCTCGTATATTACACATAGCTGAAGCTATAGGAATCAAAGAAAACAACCCATTTTTATGTGCAGAAAAGGTTTGTGCAACCCTTACCTTAGACTTTAATTATCTACACACTTCATCCTTTAGAATTACTTTCATTTTTCTAAGTTCTGACCTACACTGATTGTTTAAAATGTCTGCAGTGCCATGCTGTTCTCACTATTCTTACGATCACTGAGACAATTATTATTACTAATATTATTATTATCTGGATGTTTACTGTTTGCATACTTCATTTCCTCGTTACCACAGACTGAAGAATTCACCACGATTGTTTTATATATTAAAAAATTGATGTATATTGAAGTAAATACTGAAGACAGTTAATTGAAAACAATATTGTTCGCCTATTTGTCCTCTAATTTTGACAATCAGGATTTCGAATATTCTTTAGTAAATAACAAAAGCTAACTAAAACAAGGTCACTAAAAAGTCACTTACTGTTTCGCTAACATGAAGTTCTGGAATAGCATGCACCATAGGTATACTAGCACTTGCGTCAGTAATCCGCTCACCTGAAATGCCTCCTTCTCTGAAGACAAATTAAAATAGGAAATTAAACTAACCTGCGCAAATTGGCACCACACTCTGCACACAAATCTTTCATTACGACGTGATGCGTGCATGGAAGAAAGTTAAACAAAACGCATCTAAAAGCCAATTAAGAGAAAAATGATATCTTACCCAGCAACAACCCTGGCACCTTCATCTTTCATTTTCGTTACCCACCCATAGCCAGGCGCTTTAATATCTATACTGCGAGGTGTGTTACCAACAAGCTCGCATATAGAAACTGATGGATTAACAAGTTGTCGACGGTGTATTTTCCAATGTACTGTCTGATCTCCAATCACATCATCAGGTACACATACAGGTTGCTTAGAACTTCCAGGAACAGATGCCATGGTCAAAGAGTAAAATAAAGAATGTCGGACCTCAACTAGGGCTTATAGTCACATGAATAAGTTGTCAGTTTACACAGTCGATATAATAAGTTAGCATCAAGATAGTAAAGAACCAAGAAAAATCTGCAAAGAAAAGCAAATGATGAGTCGAATGGAAAACTAACACGATTACTTTATATGTCAAAGGAATCACTTTGTTTTAATGCTCCACCTACTTTGACCTGGGAGACACAAACAATAAGTTAATTGTAACTGAATGCAATACAACTTTCAGCAATTAAATGAAGACACGTCCACTAGACTACGAAGCACAACTGATCTGTAAGAACTGATAAAATTACCTGGCTGACAAAACATCTGCAAGTGAAGGGGGGTAATTAACCTGTGACGTACTAGTTCTAAAAAGTTCAAACCGAGATAGTTAAATAACCATTCTTCTGAGTAGATAACAGTTGAACCATGTAAAAAGATTCAAATCTAAAAGACTCCTTAGTTAGGTTTACTATACTTAAGTGATGGACAACTTTGAGTTATTTAAACGATGGTCTCACAAGCAATGGACAGAATAGAAAGGAAAAATCCAGTTCAAAGGCTATGTATGGGCTATATAACATTAACTGAAATGACTAGTCGTAGACAATTCACAGCGACCAACAGTACTCGCCACCAAAACGAAAGCAATCTGAACACTGAACGGTCAACTCGCTTCAAAATCCACTACCCTTGAATTCTTAGTTCACTATGTATTTTACAGATGATAAGAAAAAGAATGAGCACAAGTCTTAACGGATTATTCCAAACCACCACGACTTAGATAACGCAATTTAAAATAACTTGACCGCCATCCACTTTCTCTGACACTCAAACATTTTTTTGCGAGATACCAACACAAACGTCTTCGGTTGATTTTGCACTCATGACATTTTGTCACTGATGCCAATATTCTACCCTCTTCTGTTGATCTTAGATAACATTCATTTCAATACACCAAGCGGAGTATTTATCTAATTCCTACTTATAAATTTTCAATCACTTATTTAGAACACAAACATGGTATAACACGGGCAGCAAGAAGAAAAAATATGGTACGTTAAGAGGAAAACAGAACGAAAACAAGAATAGAAAAAAGTCACTAAAGAAGCAGTTTTAAACATGGCTTCAAGGAAGTATTCGCTAGTTTCTTAAACCTCATCTGAGTTGTTAGCACCGGAAGACGCTGATCTGATGAAACTATCTTTCATCACATGGCGCCGTATCATACATTATCATCCAGGTCTCACAACGAGTCCCATAGCAGTGAACAGTGGACGATATGCGAGCTACTGGGATGACGATTGTAAAACATGTCCAAGTCACCGAAACCAGTGGTTATAAGATAAGTTCATGCAATAAATGACGATCCCCCTAGCACCCGACCACAAGCCAACTCACCTCATAATTACTGACATGGTGGTTTTCATACTAAATGCTAACAACCCGACGGAGAAGACGGTGAACAAACATCCAGAATCATCATACATCCCCGACTCGTACTGGTCAAGCTTGAAAAGAGTAGAGCAGGATGAGCCCTACCGATGGCGTTGTACGCCTAATCTTTTATAGCAAGGTTAACCTCACGATGGTACCATAGGTGCCCATAATTGGTGCACGCCACTCTAGTTTTCAATTTGTGGCTGGAAATCCACCAAACAGACGTGCGTCAGCCCTTATGCAACTATACCCAGGTACAAAAAACTTTTCGAAAACCTTCAAAATTTCACTTGTAAGGATGAGAGTATATGTTGATTTCTGACTGAGTAACAAAATCAAGGTAAAACATCACACACAGATGCATCGGTTTACGTTGCCACACTTCAGTAGCACACAAACAACAGGTGGATAGAAAAGAGTGATATCAACGTAAACAAAGTAGTGTGAGAATAAACAATCTGAAGGTTAGTGAAAATATTCAACCTTTAGATGTCAAGCAGTGAACGCATCTGCAACATTGTGATTGATTTTCAGTCATCCCACTAACAGTTCTATACCTCCCCACACGGCTCAGGTCAACAGTAAGGGACTTCATCGACTGGTGGCATATCTTGGTCTGACTACCATGAACCCTCTTCCAACCTAGTCCAACTTACCCTATAATGGCACGTCGAGATAGGCAGTGACTCATATGCGTAACGCATGTCCAAAGCACCTCAGCCGATCAAGGTTCACAACCTTATCAATCAACTTGCCTGTCTTGCCTAGTACCCTTCACATGGCCTAAACACTGCTCACATGGTGATCCTACTAAACGTGAGAAATGCTTCCAAAACATCTGATCGAAACCCTATAACCGCTTCAAATCTACGTTTAACGGACACGTCTCACATCCATACAACAAGACAGAACGAACTGCAGCGCAGTATACTCGTTATTTAATAGATAGTCGGATATCTCGCAGGTGCCACAGATTACCCAAACTAGCAAATGTGTGAAGGGTTTTTTGTATTCGGGCTGACATTTCGTCAACAACCAGCTAGTTTGGCGTGCTGACGCGACCCCCCAATTAGGTGTAGTGGTCAACTCATTCAACATTTTCACTCCCTATTCCTAAACCAGGAGTGGTTGCAGGCCAGTCCTGAAGTATTCATTTTCACAAGACCCTGAGTTGCATCAGCGTCTTCACTAGCAGGACAATATTTTCTGCATACTCCAACTCAACCAGATGATCTCCGGCTAGTATATCAATGCATGTGAAATCAGACGTACCTAAGATTATTTCCATTAGTACGTCCAAGACGAAGTTAAATAGAATGGCGACAGCGAGCATCCCTGATGGACACCACTAGTCGTCAATTCTGATGAAAACTCCCCATCAGCCTATGCAGGGCTGCTTGAGTTCGAATAGAGAGCTTTGATTGGCGTCACATACTTGGCTGGTACTATCTAACAGTTAGACGATGTCACACCTCACGGTCAGTGTCGGTCTCTGGCCGGTAGGTAGGCTTGTGTTCCAGAACCCCTCTTAGAGAAAGAATATGATCGATGAGACCACGCCGTATGGTTTGAAACCTGACTGGTTTTCTCGAGTTTGCTGTTCTTGACCTCTAATTAGTCAGACGTCGGATAACTATGGAATCTAGGATCTCGGACACAATATTGGTCAGACTTAATCTCCTACAGTTGTACCAAGAATATTTCTCTCCCTTCTTATAAACTGGGATGATCAATGAAGTAAACCAGTCTGATGGCATTACTTCTGATTCCCATACACTACCTAGTACCCCAGTCACTTTAAACAGCGATTTCCTATCTTCATCCTTGAAAAATTCGGGTGGAAAACTGTCAGGTCCTGCTGCTTTGCATCGTTTCAGGTTCGATGCACCTTTCTCAACTTCAGGAGAGTTGACGGACAGACAGTTCTGTTCCATTCAGGTTCAGGATGGATGTTAGGCAACTAAAGCATTGCTGTGGGCCAGTTGAACTATGCTACAAAATTTTATGCCCAACATTCTAACCATCTGACCTGAAAGGTTATAGGCATCCCATCCTTTTCCGTGATGTTTTCACTAACTATCGTCTTCTTCTTGCCGATATTCTTTATAGGCCAAACCAGTTGGCGGGTGTTACCTAACCCTGATGCCTTCTCCATCTCTCTCGCCACCCACTACTGCTCGTGATCGACGAGAAGACTCTTGGTCGAATTACGCTTCAGTTGCTTTTACTCTTCATCCTGGTCACAGCCAGCTGGAAACCGTTTCCTCGCATCAATCAGTTCAGATGAAGTTGCTGAAATCCATGATTGCTAACCTTTGGGTGTTGGTTCCCAACTGTCTTCACCGCTGTTTTCACAGCAAACTAGATGTCACGCCACGTTTCCTCAGGATGAGTATTGCTGTCCCGTCAAACAAAAGCTTAACTAAATCTTCCCTAAGTGAGACCTTGACGTTCGCATCTTTCAATCAACCACAAACCGGCTTTACTATCGTCTGTTTCCAACAAACAGTAGGGCGCAGATACATGTGGGTTCATACTAATGCATAACTGGAGTAAAAACTGTTCATCATCATCCATCGACATAGGACCAGGCATTACTGAGTAACGGTCCGGGTTGCCACAGCTTATATCAGTACATCAGGTAAAAAGGCAGTGAAGTGGAAGATGAAGGAAATAAAATTCAGTCAAAAGAAATGTAAACTACTAAAAGAGAGATGAAGAATGAGAAGATGGTGAGATTTGGTATAGAACCATTGACATCGGTTCTGAGCCATATCACCTAGAGTCTCCAAACGCTGGTTTTTCTTGTCCCGCGGAACCCAACCATATAGTCTGCATCGCCGCACATGACTCAAACCAACAGTCAAAGACTTCATGCATTGGCGCCATGTTTTTAGTCTGGATGCCTCGACTTCTCATTGAATGCGATTTCGATGTTTTCGTTGTCGAGCTGCACTCTTAGTGGTTTTGTTGCCAAATTTTTCTTACGTCCATTGACACCCAGGCATTTACGCACTCGGACCAACGCGTGGTCGCTATTCAAACACGTACTCCAGAAGGAGCGGCAGTCTTCCACCATCCTCTCCAGCCATGAGTGATACCAATGTGGTCTATCTGTGTCCATCACTGAGTTGAACTCGGTGGACGCCACATCAGACAGTGTCTTTCTTTGTGTCTGAAATTTATGCCACCTGAAAATAAGCAGTTATCTGACCACAGTCGTAGTAGGCGACCACTGTCATCAGTCCGTTCAACCGGGATTCCGAAAGAGCCACCTAAATGCCTACCTCTCTCACTCAGTCTACCCACCTACCTGTGCATTGAAATCACCCGCAACAACCACCACGTCTGAACGTTTGGCTTTCGAAAGGAGACTAGACGGTTTTCGGTAGAACTCGTCCTTCACTTCATCCGAACTACAATCAGTGGGTGCGTAATCAGAAATTACAAAGAGACAACGGCGAGTCTCACTATTCTTTTTAGTTCTCACTCAGCCGGACAACGCAGAGGTGACTATCAACTGGGATCCA